TTGAGAGAGAGAGACTGTTAAAGGCTAACAGAGAGTGGGGAGGCAGGTCAAGGAATACAAAGCAGAAAATGGGGTAGAAGAAGATAGGGATGATGGGTTAAAGAGGTGTTAATGATGCAAAGGTCTCAGGTGATGAGAAGGTCCCAGGTTGTGGTTAACGATCACTGACTCTCAGTTAAGGTAAGCAAAATAAGCAAGGGATCTCACTCCTCATCCCTAACCAGAGATTGTCTACTGGAAGCGACTCTTTCTGTGACCTGTTCTGCCTTCCCCCACTTCCGCAACATCACCTGGCTCCGCTCCTGCCTCTCCCCTCAGGCTGCTGAGACTCTCATCCACAGATTCAACACATCCAAGCTTGATTTTGCTAATTCTCTGCTTGTCTGTCTTCCCAACACAAACTGCAGATTATTCAGAACTCTACAGCTCATGTCCTCTCCCACACCAGGCTCTGTGACTCTAACCTCCCCATCTCCAGTGGCTCCCCACCCACCTCGCTCTTCCCTACCTCTGTGACCTGCTAACCCCAAACTGATCTGTCGGGAGACTCCTGGCTGCTCCATGTCCCCAGCCCTGCCCCTCCACCATCAGTAATTGGGCTTTCAAACTTCTGCGCCCACCCTTTGGAACTCCATCCCACAGTCCCTTTGCCTTGCTCCCTCACTTACCTCCTTCAAGGTCCATCTCAAGACACTCCTCTTCAATCTTGCCTTTGTTCACTCTCCTGCCCTACCCTCCCTGCTCTCCAACCATCCTGATCCCAACTCCTAACTGGGGTGCAAATCGTGACTGTGAAGCGCCTTGGGATGTCCTCCTAATGTGAAAGGCGCGGTGCAAATGTAATTTGTTGCTGGTGTGTGTGTGGAATTGTATGTCGACAGTTTCAGTTGGATATAAGGTCCCACATGGCCAAACAGCTGCTAATACATACTCTCCAGGCACCCACAGTGATAAGGTACCAGAGGTTGATCAGTGTCTGTGGACCATACCCTGGTCGTAGGTTAAAGGAATGAAAACTCTTCACAAGAGGATGATGGGGTAAAACTGGACAGGAAATACGCTCTCAGGATAAAGGATCCTACCTTCCTGTCAGACGTGAACGCACTTACCATAGTCCAGGGCTTTTTGTGTGACTCTGACTTTCAGTGCTGGGTTTGTGCCCAGGGTGTGGGAAGAGAGGAACAGAAGAACGACTGTCACCATCCAGACCATCTTAACAGATTGTCCACCTCACTGCGTGTGTGTGTGGGGTGGTTCTGATATTGGAAAGAGAGAGGTTAGTCACTACCAGGACACGGGTTAGACCAGTTTAAGCCATGATCAGTCACACAACACCTCATCTAAAACAAATGTATCATTCCTTCAGTACTGCACTGAAATAGACTCTGAGCTCAAATTGAGAACTTCTGGCCCAGTTGTGAGAGTGCTGCCTAATGAGCCAGGTAGCACCAGGTCACAACTGAAGCTGGATGAAGAAGGCCCTTCAACTCATTTGATCACAAGCTTCCGGAATACCTACACTGCTGTCGTCACATCACGGTATTGCCCTGCGTCCTGGCCCTAAACACTTGAACCTTTTCAGCACATTGATTACAATTTTAATAAAAATTAATACTTGTTGTTTGCTCTCTGCTTTCACACCCCTGAATGTGTGCCTCTTGCCCTGCTGTCTCTTGTCATCCGCAGACGTGGGGTCAACTTCCATATGTATGCAGATGACACCCAATTCTACTTCTCTGCCTCCACCCTTGACTCCAGGATCACTGCTGTCCTGACTGAATGTCTGTCGGACATCAAGTCCTGGATGAGAGGTAACTTTTTTCAGTTGAATGTCATTACATCAAGGCTCGACTATGCAAATTCATTGCTTGTCGGCCTCCCCAACTCCTCCTTGCACAGGCTGGAGATCATCCAGAACTCTACAGCCCGTGTCCTCTCCCGCACTAGACTCTGCGACCCTATCACCCCCGCTCCACTGGCTTCCCATCACACAGAGGATACAATTCAAGACCCTGGTTCTCACCTTCTTGGCTAACATTTCACCCTACCTGGGAATCAAACCCAGGTCCTCTCGCTTGTGAGGCAAGTGCTCTTACCGCTACACTACAGGACTTTGTTTTATGTTAAACATAGCAAGTGTTCCTCAACCAGCAGCTAGCTGCTGAGCTGAATCGACGAGAAATACTTCCAGGAGTTTGTCAAGATATTTAAAATGAAAGATAAAATGAGGATAAGTGAAATAGTTGAGTACTGAAGCACCTCTCTCAACAACACAAAATTACATTTGTATAGCTCTTTTCACGTCGGGAGAACGTCCCAAGGCGCTGGACAGACAGAGTTCCCGACCCGAGCTGAGGTCGGGGTGGAGGAGGGGAGAAGGCAGGGGGGAAGCAGGGAGATTGAAAGCACGGTCGAAGAGGAGGGTCTTGAAGGTGGCAAGGGAGGGGGCGAGATGGAAGGACTGCGGGATGGAATTCCAGAGGGTGGGTGCAGAGTGCCGGAAAGCTCACCCACCGTTAGTGGGGCAAGCGAGGCGGAGCAAGTGAAGCAGGCAAAGGGAGCGAACAAGATGGTAGGGTGTTAGGACTTCGGCGAGGTAGGGGGGAGCAAGACCATGGAGGGCTTTGAAGGTGAGGACCAGGATCTTGAACTGTATCCTCTGTGTGATGGGAAGCCAGTGGAGTTGGGCAAGGATAGGGGTGATAGGGTCGCGGAGCCTAGTGCGGGTGAGGACACGAGCTGCAGAGTTCTGGATGATCTGCTCTCAGTACTCAAAGACTGATTTATCCAGCTCCTCCATGTCTGGGGCTGCTTGACACAATTTTTTTATTTGTCCAGCCCGGTGTCTATCACACGCAGAAACCCATCACCGTGCTTAAGGTTATCCAAACCAAACTGAGAATTCCATGCATCCCCCCTACACGTGGAAATCCTAGAGATAGATTGTTGGAATGGCATGTGCACTCTCTCCCTCGAGGAACGCATTCTGCTTACCTAATTCTGGAAAGTATTCGGCGCAAATTGGCAGGAGCCAATACTTGGGGACCCCAAAGTGTATATTGAGATAACTGCTGGATTCTAACCAGCTAAAACAGAATAGCTTCCCATTGATATCACTGTCTGACAAGCTTTTCCACTGCTTGTCCAACTAGGACACCCTCCCCGTTAGGGCTTTGGCTTGCAGGGTTAACAGGAGCTGCAATAAGCTAATTCCATTGACTGAGCAAGCAGCGTACAGCCTTACCTGAATGTGCCAGTCAGTCGGCTCAGATGCTTTAAACACAGAGACCTCTCGGACTATTTATACTTGTCGTTTTGAAAGAAAACTATGATTTGTAAGCAGGAAGTTCAGTGAAATAGATGATACAATAACACCAACTATAAAAAGAACTGGATCAGGAGTGTCCGTTGACGGTTGTAGTTTGTCAATTTGCTTGATGGGGAAATTGACAGTGTAAATCGTGCCAAACATTACCTGGAACCAGTGTGGCTCTTTATCTCATACTGACTTGAAATCCTGTAGCCAGTATATTGGTTGGAGCACTCGCATCGCAAGTGAGATGACTTGGGCTCGATTTTGGGGTAGAGCCAAACCTTGAGCAAATTTTCTTGATCCACATGCCTCCGTTTACCTAAGAGTAAGCAGGAACCCACTTGTTAGTCGATTGGTGGATTGCTTTCCGGAGGTAATAATCCCTCGAAAGAATAATAATTTGGTCACTCAATCCACTTATAGAATGGTTCCGAAGGTCTGAATGGCCTACTCCTGTTTCTATGTGAGCAGATCAAAGAGTAGGGAGGTGCCAGGGCATGAAGTGATTTGTAGGTGAGTGTGAAATTGATCTGGTTTCCATTCTGTCCCACCTCATTTGGCATTCCACGTCTCACCAAATCTGTGAAGGCAAGTTGTTGTTGAAATTCCACCCAGTCTCAGCCTGCCAGACAGATTCTGAATTGGGGAAAATCCTGAAATCTGGCCGTATCCTGGAAGTCACTTTATTTTGAAGAGCTGCGGAAAACCAACTTCTAAGAGTTTGAAGAATTTTCCTCAAATTTAAAACCAGCGGCTGTAGTTTTTTTTGGTCAACCGGATGTATTGACACATGCAGAAACCCACTACCATGCTTAAGAGTATCCAAACCAAACTGAGAATTACGTGCATCCCACCTATGCATGGAAATTCCAGAGATGTTTATTCGAATGGAATGTGCGCTCTCTCCTTGGGAGGGATCCATCCGGTTTTCCTAATTCCAGAAAGTATTAGATGCAGGTTGGGAAGAGCCAAGGCTTGGGGAACCCAGAGAGTGCGTTGAGGTAATTGCTGGAGTCTAACCAGCAAAAGCCAGATAGCTTGCCGTCGTCTGACAAGCTTTCCTGCTACTTGTCCAGCTCGGACCACCCTACCCGTTGGGAGCGTTGGCTTGCAGGGTTGACAGGAGCTGACTGGGAGGACCAGTGACTGGTCTGCCCTTCCAAGTCCTGCCGATGAGCCAGGCTGAGCTGTGCGGGAATACTGAGAAACCCGCCCGACTCAGCAACCGGACGACCCAGACCACCGCAGGGGGCTGGCAGCTCAGCTCCAAAGGGACCGCCGCTTCCCTCTCAACGCCCCCCCCCCCCGCCCCACCCACCCACCCACCCACCCAAAGACAACCAAACAGTAGCCCAAAAGTAGCCCAATGTTATGCATTATCCTGCGGGGTTGGCAGAGTGGCCAAGTTAGGTCGGCGCTTTTGACGAAAAGGTCTTTTCAATGGAGGGGGAGGTGGTGGGGGGGGGTTAGAAAAACTTTTGCAATTAAATAAAAATGAGGCACCAGCCCAAACTGGCCACCTCGGTGTGTGTGTGTGTGTGCAAATGACCCATCCGCCCCGGTCACATGATGGTACCCACCCAGGCTTCAGCTCTGATCACATGACGGGGTTGCGATCGCTGACGTGGTGAGGGGGTGGGGGTGGGGCTCCGATACCTGACCGGGGATGGGGGATGGGAGCTGTTGTCATGTGATGAGGAGCTCTGATCACGTGACGGGGGGGGCGCGGGGAGAGCTGTGAAGGAGCTGCGGCCTCGGCACCGCCTGTGAGAGCTGTTGGAGCGCAGACGCACGGAGAGAGGGGTCGGTGAGGCCTTCGTTAGCCCCTGACAGCGCGCGAAGGGCGCTTCGTAAACGCAGTTTGTTGTTATTGCTGTTGTTGTTGTTGTTGCTGCTGCTGTTGTTGTTGTTGTTGTTGTCCCCTTCCTGTCAACGGGACTGTGCGTGTGTCAGTTCATCATCATCATCATCATCATCATCATCATCATCATCATCATAATAATAATAATAATCCTTTGCGTTTGCTACAGCGCCCGATCGGGTTGTGCGAGAGGCGTCTCCAGGCGCCTCACGGAATACACCGTGAAGTGAGTCCACGGCGCGTTTTGTGGGCACTTCTCGGAAGGCAAACCCCCCCCTCCCTCCCCCGCTGGCGTTCGGCCTGGTTTTGGGGGCCGCCTCGACCCCCCCCCCTCCCCCCGCCCCCCCGTTGACTCCCTCCTCTCTTCTTCTCTTCATCCGCCGCCTTCTCCTCTCGCCCTCAACCCCGTCGCCCGGTTCTGTCCTCGACCGGTCCCGATCCTCACGGGTCCCCCTCCTCTTCGGTATCTGTGTGCTTCCTCTCGGTGACATTATCCGCAGACGTGGGGTCAATTCACCCCGTCATGGGCGGCGCGCCTTCTGCCACTCACCCTCTGGAACTTGATCCCGCAGTCCCTCTGCCTCGCCCCCCCCTCCCTTGCCTTCTTCAAGAGCCATCTCAAGACCCTCCTTTTCGAAGACCCTCCTTCCCCTCCCTGCCCTCCATCCTCTCCGATCCCAACCCCCAGCTCGGGTCCGAAATACTAACTGTCCAGCGCCTTGGGACGTCCTCCCATTGTGAAGGGTGTGATACAAATGTAATTTTGTTGTTGTTTTGCCTGCCCTCATTAATAATACTAATCCTTGTGTTTGATACAGCGCTTTATCTTGTATCACAGGATTAATGGGAACATATTAGCATGGATTGAAGAGTGGCTAACGGGTAGAAAACAGAGAGCAGGGATAAACAGGTCATTCTCGAATTGGCAGGAGGTGACTAGTGGAGTGCCACAAGGATCAGTGCTTGGGCCTCAGCTATTTACAGTTTACATCAATGATCTGGACGAGGACATTGAATGTAACGTATCTAAATTCGCGGATGACACTAAACTCGGTGGGAGAGTAAGCTGTGAGGATGAAAGAAAAAGATTGCAACGAGATATAGATAGGCGAGGGGAGTGGGCGAGTTGGTGGCAGATGGAATTTAATGTGGGGAAGTAATATAATAATAATAATAATCCTTGCATTTGATATAGCGCTTTTCACGTCGGGAGGACGTCCCAAAGCGCTTCACAGAACACACTGTAAAGTGAATTGACTGTATATTTGTGGGTGAACGCGGCAGCCAATTGCGCACAGCAATGTCCCACAAACAGTCGTAGATTGAAAATGACCAATTTATTATTGTTTTTGGTTTTGGAGGGATTATTATTAGGCTCTGTGTGGAGTAAGGAAACTTGCCCAAGGTTTCACCCTCTGCCTGGAATTGAACTCAGGTCTCTCACTTGCAAAGCGAGTGCTCTAACCACTGAGCTACAGGACTCCACAAATGTGAAGTTATACACCTAGGTAGCAAAAATAGAAAAACAGATTATTTTCTAGGGAGGGAGAGATTAGATAGTGTTAGTGTTCAGAGGGATTTGGGTGTCCTTGTACACCAGTCTCAAAAAGTTAGTTTGCAGGTTCAGCAGCAACTAGGAAGGCGAACGGCATGTTAGTGTTCATTGCAAAAGGTTTAGAGTACAAGAGTAGGGAAGTGTTGATGCAACTCTATAGGGCCTTGGTGAGACCGCACCGAGAGTATTGTATGCAGTTTTGGTCTCCTTATTTAAAAAAGGACATACTTGCCCTAGAAGGGGTGCAGCGTAGATTCACTCGGTTAGTTCCCGGGATGAGGGGACTGACCTATGAGGATAGGCTGAATAAACTAGGGCTGTATTCTCTAGAGTACAGAAGAATTAGGGGAGATCTTATTGAAACATATAAGATTCTTAAAAGGCTGATAAAGTAGACACTGAGGGACTGTTTCCCCTGGTAGGAGAGTCAGCCTTTTAGAACAGAGTTGAGGAAACATTTCTTCACTCAAAGGGTATTGAATTTATGGAATTCACTTCCCCAGAAGGCTGTAGATGCTCAGTCCTTGAACATTTTCAAGGCTGAGACTGATAGATTTTTAAAAAAAAGAGGGATTAGGGAATATGGGGAATAGGGCAGGTAATTAGAGTTAGGTCAGAAGATCAGCCATGATCTTATTGAATGGCGGGGCAGGCTCGAGGGGCCGAATGGTCTACTCCTGCTCCTAATTCTTATGTCACCCAGACACAATGGTAGCGATCTCACTTCTGAGTTAGAAGGTTCAAACCCAACATTGAGATTTGGAACTCTTTTCCGTGTATTTAAAGGGTTATGATCTCTGCTCTCTTCGTATGTAAATCTATGTCAGATAAATCCTAGCAGCTCATTTTGTTGAAAATGGTTCTGTCCTGTTTCTGTTTCAGATGGCTTTTCTCGTGTTATTAGTCATGTTACTAAGAGCATTCGTCCTCGAATCTGCTCCAGTGGCGGATGAAATTGTTTACCTCCCCGGCCTGGCCAAGCAGCCCAGCTTCAAGCAGTATTCCGGCTACCTGAACGTCTCTGACAATAAACATCTCTTCTACTGGTTAGTAACCTGCTTGAAACCACATCTTTCTGAGGTGCATATGTTACCAACTGAGCCAAATGTACAGTATAACTACTGTCCAGTGTAGGGATAATAAATAACTGCATAAGAGATCCGAACTAGAGATCCAATTGTGCCATCCACACATGGAAATCTTGCTTTGTCTGGAATGGAATGCACAGTTTCTCCCCGGAGGGATGCACCTTGCCTACCAAATTCTGGAGACCATTAGGCGCAGGTGGGCAAGAGCAAAGGCTTGGGGAGCCCATAGTTTATCCAACTAAAACCATATAGGTTGCCGCTCAAGGCACTCTCTGGCAAGCTTCCTGTTGCTTGTCCAGCTAGGACCATCCTACCTATTAGGGCTTTGGCTTGCAGGGTTAACAGGAGCTGAGTGGGAAGAGTCCCTGTCCCAAGTGACTGGCCTGCAAGTCCTGTCATCAGCAGTGCCCTGGAATACTGTGGACCCATCTGTCTCAGGAACCGGACTAGAGACCAACACAGAGGGTGGACTCGATCCCAACATTCTATTGCTAATACTGTCATGTTGGAACCAGGTTCAGTTCCAGGGAAACCTTGCTTAACCTCCACCTACCCCCATCTCACAGAGCCATTGTGAACCATTTGTGTCTTTTTCAATTCCAACGCTAGACAGTGATTAGTTGATCTTTTAACACCCAATAAACGCATTTTCACTAGTTGCTAAAACTCTATCAGCTTCCTGAGGAGCTACAAACCTCAATATAAAATGTGTAAAAGCATTGGAACATTCTCCCTTCCCACACACATCCCCATTGAGCAACGGTTCCACCATTTGGGTATGTTTACTTCTCTGTCTACCAATCAAAGTGGAATCCAAGTTGTGGATGTTCATGAAATGGACTCCAGTTAATGTCTTCCATCTCCACTTTGTTGCCACTCACGCTTCTCCTCCAGCTCCTGCACCATCACGCATAGCGTCCCTCAGCTCTGTCCTTTCCAGTATCTACATGCTCTCCCTTGGCGACATCATCCTCAGACAATGGGGTCAACTCACCAGTTCTGGCCCAGGCTCCACTGGCTCCCCATCGCCAAACGGATCGACTTCAAGATGCTCACACTCGTGTTCAAATCCATTCACTCCCTGGCACCTCCTTAGCTCTCCGACCTCCTCACTCCCCATTCTCCCACCCGGAGCCTCCGTTCGCCTGGCACCAGCCTCCTGCTTGTCCCTCGCACCCTCCGCCCCACCATCGGAGGTCAAGCTTTCAGCCACTACACCCCAAAACTCTGGAACACTCCCTCAATCCCTCCACTTTGCCCTCTTTCCCCTTTTTCAAGTCCCGCCTGAAAACCTTCCTCTTTGACCATGCTTACGGCCACCTCCCCTTCCCCCCCCTCCGTTCATCACTTTCAAAGCCCTCCATGGCTTTAACTCCCCACTCTGCGACCTCTTAAACCCCTACCAAGCTGCCCGCTCCCTCCGCTCAGCGGGCTCCGGCCTGTTCCACATCCCAGCCTTGCCCATCCCACCATTGGCTGGCGAGCTTCCAACCACTCTTCCACCACGCTCTGGAACTCCATCCCACAGTCTTGGCCTCGCGCCCTCCTGTGCCTCCTTCAAGACCCGTCTCAAGACCCTACTGTTTGACCGTGCCTTCTGTCACCCTCCTTCACCCCCTGCACTCCACCCTCCCTGATCCCTAACCCAGTTCAGGTCCAAAACAATGATTGTCCAGCACCTTGGAATGTCCTCCTGACGTGAAAGGCACTATATAAATTTTGTGTAATTTGTTGTTGATATTGGTGCTGCTGTTGTTCATACAGAAATCTGAGTTAAATAACGCTGTTCCAGGGGTTCTGTTATTTATTGTTCGTGATTGAGTGTATATTTGTTTGCCCGCCTTGTTCTCATCCAGACTTGGGATGCAGCCTGCTATAGCTTTGTTATTTAGAGTTTCTAAAGATGGCGCTTTAATTATCAAATGTTTGCTGCTGATTGCCTGCCTTCTTTGGCCTCCTCACACAAAACATGGCTACTCTTGTCCTTGGCAGGTTTGTGGAGTCTCAATCTAGTCCTAAGAAAGATCCTGTTGTGCTCTGGCTGAATGGAGGCCCTGGCTGCAGCTCCCTGGATGGGCTTCTGAACGAGCATGGGCCCTTCCTGGTATGGTTTGGATGCATGTGTTTACACACCACCTCGAGGCACTTAGAAATGACCAGAGCTTCTGGTGAATTAAGTCATTAAACTAAAGAGATTCAGAGTATCCAGGTATTCAACCCTGGCATTGTGGATTGCTTTCCAAGGTTAATAATTCCCCCCCCCAAAAAAGGGACACTGCTGTGTGCAATTGGCTGCCATGTTTTGCCCACAAAAAACACTTTACAATATATTCTGTGAAGCGCTTTGAGATGTCTCAACGACATGATAAGGCACTATATCAAATGCAAGGATTATTTATTCTTTATCTATTTTATGTTTCTAGATGTATAAAGAGCTCCCTGGTGGCTCAGTGAGGGGGAGAAAGTTTAGCTGATCTCAGCCAGGGCATGTAATTGGTCTCAGCTCACTTTGTAAGGGAGAATGAAATCAGTCAGGGTTCCTGCTCCTGATTGTTGTCAAACATGGTCGAAGGGGAAGGTTTTCAGGCAGGACTTGGCTGACTGTTCAGTGCTTTGGGACGTTCTCCCGATGTGAAAGGCGCTCTATAAATGTAATTTTGTTGTTGTTGACTTGAAAAAGGGGAGAGAGGGGGCAAGGCGGAGGGATTGAGGGAGAGTGTTTCAGAGTTTCGGGACGTAGTGGCTGAAAGCGCAACCTCCAATGGTGGGGCAGAGGGTGCAAGGTGGATGAGGGAGGTGAGGTGGTGGAGGAGGATGACATGGTCGACTGTCGAACGAGGCAGAGAGATCCAGGAGGATGAGGAGGCAGAGGGAGCCTGGTCACAGATAGGGAGGATGTCGTTTGTGATTTCGACAAGCGCTGTCTCTATGCTGTGGGCAGGACAAAAAACAGACTGCAGGGGCTTGAGGAGGGAGTGGAGGGAGATGTGTGTCCGAAGTTGACCTGCAACAATGTGTTCCAGGACTTTGGCAAGGAAGGGTAGGTTGGAAATGGGATGGTAGTGTGAGAGCCACCAAACGGGTTTCAGCTGTGTTGCAAAAGGGAGGGGATATGGGGACGCTGTGCTAAGCTGTCAAATCGCAGTGCTGTCATGGAGCCCGAGGATTTGGGGAGGGAGAAGGGGAGGTGTTCTTATCACATTCTCAAGTTGCTTTCCTCTCTGCAGCTCCCAGGGGCTCATCAGCCTTTTTTTTAATTATTATTATGTTAAGTTCCAGCACCTTGGGATCTCCTCCTGACGTGAGAGATGCTATATAAATGTAATTTGTTGTTATGATACTTTAGATCACTCTGTGGAGGTAATTTCTAAGTGTTTTTCAGTGATGGGTCAGCCAGAGACCAATAATGTTGCCACATTAATATGGTTCAGGAGCCTTTAAAAAACTCATGAGACAATTTCAAAAATGGAAAGATTGAAGAAACAATTCACCAGATGGATTTTTCATTAACATGTGAATGGATGTTACTTTTCTTTGTGTGTTTAAGCTTCCTAAAATAGCTAATTTTCCAGGAAGGTTCACCAAGAATTTTATCTGGCCATTTTTTTGTCAGGCATTTAATATTATTGTTATTATTGTTATGATGATTATTATTATGATTATTACAGATTCAACAGGATGGGAAGAGTCTCCAGTACAATCCTTACTCCTGGAACTTGGTACGATGTATTTCTGCTCCTGTTCTCACTCTAGATATTTGGCCTCACAGTTCCTTCTCATTCGCAGCCTGGCATCTTGTAGCCCTCTTGTCTTGAGGTAGTCGGCAATGGGTTTGAGTGCTACATCAGGCCCTGAGCTGACAGTGTTTGTTAGCACTCCAGTACAGCATTGGGTCAACGTGGAGTCCTGTAGCGTAGTGGTTAGCTCGCTCGCCTCACAAGTGAGCGGACCCAGGTTCAAACTAGAGGCAGGCCATTTAGGAGTGAAATCAGGAGGCAAGGGGTAGTGGAAATCTGAAACTCTCTCCCTCAAAAGGCTGTGGATGCTGGATCCATTCACATCTTCAAGACTGAGGTGGATAGATATTTGTTGGGTCAGGGTATCCAGGGCTATGGGGCAAGGGTGGGTAATAGCAGTTGAGATACAGATCAGCCATGATCTTATAGAATGGGGAACAGCCTCGAGGGGCTGAATGGCCTGCTCCCGTTTCTATGATTGGGTTGTAAAAATATGGTTTACTTTGTCTGACTCTGGTCATCGACTATTAATCCCTTCTGAGGTTCTGCAGAGGTTGTGACAATTAATGTTCAGCCTGAGCTCCCTGATGGCAGAGTGTAATTGACCTAACACCATGTTTGTTTATTAGGCCAGAATTTACCCGAGTAAGATTTTGGGATAAAAGTATTTTGGGGATTTGCAGTTGCTGTTCCCTCATGAGATCGTCAGCAAGCGTGCCGCACTTTAGCCCCACTTGCAGGACCAAATGGATTCCTAATCTTCATGTCCTCTCTGTTTCATCCCAGGAGATTGAATTCAAGAACCTCATTCTCACTTTCAGGTGTCACCCCACCCTGCCTTTGTGACCTTCTTCACCTATGTCCCTATGTTCCCCACTGTATCCACCCACAACTGGCTGGTCAGCTTTCAGCCATTTTGCCCTGCTCTCTGGAACTCCATCCCAACAATGCTCCGACTTGTTCCCTTCCCTCTCCTCGTTCAAGATCCGTCTTAAGAAGTACCTCTTTGACCGCGCATTCGGTTATCTTTCCATTCCCTGTCCCCAGTTTGGGTGCCCAGCCAGCAGTGTTGAGACCTTCGAGACATTCTCCTGACCTGAAAGGTGCTGCATAAATGTAAATTGTATTGTAATTTTAGACTACATTTTCTCTGCACAGATTGCCAACATGCTGTACCTTGAGTCTCCAGCAGGAGTTGGGTTTTCATACTCTGATGACCAGATCTACAAAACCAATGATACTGAGGTAGGAGTGTGTGGGTGGGATGTATACATAGATTTCCCAGGGCTATTTAATGGTGATCTAGTGTTCTCCATTAGATAAACATTCTGGTGAGTATTACACACATCATCTTTGGCAAAGCCTGATTATAATGAGAAACTCAAGGTGGTTGACATCACAAAGCCTTAATGCTCTCCGCATGTACAGATACACCACATGTAAAGGTGACCAGCAGTTCAGACAATAACATGACTGTTTGGAATTAGATAAGGTCATTAAAAAATAAACAGCTAGACACGTAAAATACAAGAGCCAGTGTTGATGTTGAACTTGTACATTGGTTTAGGTCACAGATGCAATACATATACAGCTTTGGATTTAAAAGCAATCTAAAAATGGGACAGCAAAGATTCACTAGGATGTGGTCAGACATGAGAGGTTTGCAATCAGGAAGAGACACCTGACAAGTACGACTAAAGGTGAGGTTAAGGAGAGACCAAGGTTAAATAGTATACAATATATTGAGGTGGTCTGAGTTCAATGTTTCAGGCCCTGCCATATATAAAAAAAATCGCGAAAAAATGGCTGGTTTCTGGGTTGTTTGCCACAGCTGAGCTTTTGACATGTCTCGCACATGTGCCCACAAGTGATGTTTAGTGGTGTTTCCTGTACATAGTAAATGACATACTGTAAACAGAAGACTTAAAATCAGTCATTTTTTAACCTCAGTATCAATTTCCGGCTGAATCTAGAAACCAACCATGAAAGAAAACGCTTTTTGTGCGGTTTCACTATCCTCTGGAGTGGGGGGGGGGGTGAGAGGGGGAAGTAAGCAGGAGGTGAACTGGAGCCGAACTGCCTCCAAGCTGACGTGTTTAGTAACGGAATATCGGAATTGAGCCAGCCCTCTATGGCGGTCTCTAGTCTGGTTCCTGAGCTAGGTAGGGCCACAGTATTCCATGGCTCTGCAGCGAGCATATCCTGTGGTTTACCTCACTCAGAAGCTGGGGCTGTTCACTGTGGCAAAGGGCAGAGTGAATAGCAAAGGTAAAATGAAGACAAAGTGAATTACCAGGAAAGGCTAATGAAGTAGATAGTGCGGTATTAAGGAGTTCTAAAGGTAGGGAAGGTACCCCTAGATCAGAGAAAAAGAGTGTTAGACTTCAGCTCTATGAGAAGTCTGTTGAAGCAATGGGCGATATTGATTTTTAATGCAAAATCACCCATTGCTTTAATGTGTCTATTTCTCCCATGTATTTTTTTTCCCTCTTAGGTTTCCTTTAATAACTACCTGGCGTTGAAGGAGTTTTTCACTTGTTCCCGGAGTACAGTAAGAATGATTTCTATGTGACAGGCGAGAGTTACGGGGGCATCTACGTGCCAACACTGGCCGAGCGCGTCATGACGGATTCAAGCATCCAGCTTAAGGTCAGAGTTGGGAGCGTGTATGTGTGGGCTCTCATGCGCATGCAAGACGGAAAAGTACTGGGGTTGTTGTCTGTGCACAATGCGTATGTATAATGAATTAACTGATGATTTATTAGCATCTGACATTGATCCTCTTTCAGGGAATTGCAGTGGGAAATGGCTTAGGCAGCTGGGAGCTTAACGGAAACTCAGTGGTTTACTTTGCATACTATCATGGAGTGATTGGATCCAAGTAAGTGTCAGACTCGTGTTTTTTTCTGTCTGCTGTGTACTGTATGTAGACTGGTCTTGAAACATTGCGGACAGGTTTTTGAACACATACTTAAGGACCATTAAAGCCTTTTTGTTTAAACCTAATTTCACTGATGATTACCATTTTTCTGTCGTGGCAGTGGGAAATGGCTTCGGCAGCTGGGAGCTTAATGGAAACTCAGTGGTTTATTTTGCAAAAATGTAAAATCTACTTGTAAAAATAATTGTTGCTCAAAATCAATGTTTAAAACTCAAGTTCGCTCGCACAACAAATCTCCTTGTTATCTCCGCCCCTTTGTTTCACCCTCCTATTTGCAACCAAGTATAATAATAATAATTTGCAACCAAGAAAGCTTCATCTGAAAACAACCTCAGTTACAGGCTGAAGCTTCATAATAATAATAATTCTTGCATTTTATATAGCGACTTTTCATGTTGTTGAGACATCTCAAAGAGCTTTACAGAGTATATCGTAGAGTGGATTTTATGGGTGAAACACGGCATCCAATTACGCACAGCAGTGAACCGCAAACAGTTGTGTATTGAGTGTCTATTTTTCTTTGAGGGATTCCCTAGAAAGCAATCAGCCAATCGACTAACAACTGGGTTCCTACTGTTTGCTGCTAGGTAAACTGAGACAGGTGGAGTAAGGAAACAGGTTTCGCCCTGCTCGGGAATCAAACCCAGGTCCTCTTGCTTATGAGCCAAGTGCTGCAACCACTACGCTACAGGGCTCCACAAATGCAATCAGGGACGAGATACTGAACCCCATCTTTCTTGATGTTGTTAAACAGGCTGTGGGGTGACCTCCAGAAATTCTGCTGTGCTAAGGGCACGTGCAACTTTTACAAGAATAAAGACCAGGATTGTCAGAATAAGGTGAGTGCCATTCTCCATACAGCATCTCAGAGCACCTTGTGTTTTATGTAGCACCTTTCATTTCAGCAGCACATGGGCTTCAACCCCCAACCTTTATTTTTCTGCAGTGCACTGACCAACAACTCAACATGTGGCAGAATGCCGATAATTATATTTAGCAGCACTTAATTTTATTCAGTATTATTATTATTTACATCATTATGTGCTTTGAGACGTTTCATTGTGGTAAATGATGCATTTTGATTGATTGCTTCTTGCTCTGAATGAGGTGTGTGGGGAAGGGGAATATGACAGAGCTATGGGAATTGTCCCTGAGTCGTGCTGTTATTCAGGTTGGTGAGGTGATAGCGGCAGTGTGGAATTCGGGGCTGAATGCGTATAACATCTACGCCGATTGTGCCGGAGGAGTGCCTGGTGATATCCGGTAAGGGATGCTGGTGGCAGCGCTTAATCTGAGGTGTTTCAAAGTGGCCAAGAGAAGAGGCCTGTGTTAACACAAATCTTGACTGGTTGATCTGGGGGAGGGAGACTGTCCGAGTTCCTTCACAATGCCTGACAACAGCCATTGTCATTTACTAGATGGCATCATATGCACCAGCAAGGCCAGAGTATCCAGCTCCAAGCAGCAATTTGGGAGAGTGTATCAGCCTGGTGGGTGTGTGGGAGGGGGTGGGGTGTGGGGGATGGCACAGCTGCTTGGGGGAGGGGAGAGAGGAGGGGTGTGTGGCTGCCCTGGGTGAGGGGCAGATAGAGAGCGCGCGGGGGTATAGAGAGAGAGGGAGGGGTATAGAGAGAGAGAGGAGGGGTATAGATAGAGAGAGGAGGGGTATAGAGATAGAGAGAGGAGGGGTATAGAGAGAGAGAGGGGTGGGAGGGATAGAGAGAGGGAGGGGATAGAGAGAGAGAGGGGAATAGAGAGAGAGGGCGGGGAATAGAGAGAGAGAGGGCGGAGAGTGAGAGAGAGTGGGGTACAGAGAGAGAGTGGGGGATAGAGAGAGAGGAGGGTAGAGAAAGGGGGGTAGGGAGAGAGGGGGGTAGAGAGTGGGAGAAGTGTAGCGAGAGAGAGTGGGGATAGAGAGAGAGGGTGGGTGGCTGCTTGGGTAGAAGGGGAAGATTGAGAAGGGATGTGGCTACCTAGGTGGGAGGGAGGGTGCAACACATAGCCATGGGGGAAGGGGGAAATAATACATTTTGACAAATGTTGGACTAAATGATTTTGAAACCACAGCTTCGATGAGAAACGGAAACAGTTGGTCACCTATGATCTCGGCAACCTGTTCCCCTGGCATGAGAGCAGCCAGCTGTGGAGGAAGGTAAATGCCCTTTCTTTCCTTAAAAGAAAGCTTCACCCTAATCTGGTGGTTTCACCATCTCAGACAATCGTGCCTGCCTTTCCCAGAGATGTTATGAATGTTCAGCACTCCTGAGAGCAGTCCAGTGTAGGATGGCCCTGATTAGGTGAAGTAAAATTCATCAAGTGGTAACTTGTGTCAACAGCAACAACAAGTTGCACTGCATGTATGCCTTTCACGTATGGTGAACATCTCTATCTCATAGAGTCCTGCAGCATAGTGGTTAGAGCACTCGCCTTGAAAGCGAGAGACCTGGGTTTGATTACCCGGGCAGGGCGAAACTTTGGGCAAGTTTCCGTACTCCACATGCCTCTGTTTACCTAGCAGTAAGTAGGAACACGGTTGTTAGTCGATTGGTGGATTGCTATTCCGGGGGGTAATCCCTTCAAAAAACATAATGAATAAGGTTAAAAAAAAATCTGTTTGTAGGACACTGCTGTGCGAAATTGGCTGCTACGTTTCACCTACAAAATGAATTCACTTTACAATATATTCTGTGAAGCACTTTGAGATGACTCAAAGATGTGATAAGGCGTTGTATCTGATGCAAGGATTATCGTTATATACTAGATAGCTGAAATCCGGACTGTTTTTATGTTGTGCTTGCTTAACCCCTGGCTGTGTTTTTTTAGAAACTTCTGGATCTATATCAGACCAATGGTAGACTGCGCCTGGACACTCCGTGCACCAACTCTACTCCCAGCTCCACCTTTCTGAACGATTGGGCTATACGGAGGGCACTGCATGTCCCTAACGTGGTGCAGAACTGGGAGATATGCAGGCAAGTGTAGCCCACCATCCTGCTGCTGCTCATGCTCCAATCAACACTTTGAGGCTTCTACATAAAAGTCAAGTTCTGTTGAAATCCAGTTCTTGAAGTGTTCACACAACAGACCTGGAGTCAGCACTGTGGTGATGACATTCCCTGATCTTCTCATCCTCCTGGTTTGGCATGTACTTGAATGCAATTCAAAGGGTTTTCCGCAACTTCCATACCTACAATTTCAAGTGCAGACGGTTGGGTCCTAGAGCAGAGCTTCACGTTAACTCTCAGTAATATTGTCAGCTCAAATTCAGCATTCCTGGGTAATTGCTGCTGTGGAAGAAGTTGTGCAGTGATAGCTTCCAGGAGAGGTAGACTGGGCATTGACTAATCTGATTTATTTTGCTTGCAGTTCGGCAGTGAATTTACAATATACACGACTGTACGCTGACATGAAGGACCAGTACCTGAAACTGCTCAATGCTTGGGTAAGTGAAGCTTCCCTTTCCCTACAGTGGAGTCTCACTCTAAAGTCATCAGAGGCTTTTACTTTGCCCTGTGACAGTGAATGGTGTTTGATTGCAGTTGTGCATATTGGGCAATCATCATCCTCAACTAGAGAAGACTCTCCCCTTCCCTGCAATCCTGTTACCATTGTGTAGGATAGTTCTTTATCCAAATATCCTGGGTTCAGCTCTTGGACAGTGAATGATTTATTTTATATAGCACCTCAAAGTACTTTACATTCATTATGACTGTGTTTCTGGTTATAGCAATACCGGATCCTAGTGTATAATGGAGATGTGGACATGGCCTGTAACTTCATGGGAGATCAGTGGTTTGTGGAATCCCTTCAGCAGTTGGTGAGATGTTTGTTACATATTAAGATGTGAATGAAATGTGTTGTTGTATATGTAGACTGGCTGGGTTTGCTTTGTGTGTATGCGAGTTGAATGCAGTGTTATCCAGAGTGTATACCTGTAAACTGATGAGAGTAACGCCAAACAGAGAAAACAAGCGATGTGGAGAGCACATACACAGGATAGAGAACTGGGTTAGGACACTGAATCCCATGGTTGAATCCAGTCTAGACCCGAGTCTCCTCTTTTGGCTGTAAACAACCTGTGTGAAGTGAGTGTCTGTTGCGGGCCTTGGCACGAGTGTGTGTGTGTGTGAATCCTTAACGAGTGTGACATACGTGGGTAATAATTCCAAATTAAATCATTTCAGGCTGAGTTATAAAGAATGTGTTGGTGAACGCAGCAGCCAATTTGTACAGTTATGTCACACATTAAATTGCATTTATGTAGCGCCTTTCATGTCAGGAGGATATGCCAATGTGGGATATGCCAAGTTGAGTGTTTGTACCTGAACTGGTGTCTGCATTCGGAAAGGGGGGTGTGGAGATGACGAAAACGCAGTCAAAAAGGAAGGTCTTGAGATGGATCTTGAAGGGGGTGAGGGAAGCAATGAGGCAAAAGGATTCTGGCACGGAGTTCCAGCAGCTGGGGCCAGAAAGGCTGAAGGCCCGACCACCTTTGACTGAACAGGCAAATGGGACCTCAGTTTAAAATCTTATCCGAGCTCCCTCAGTACTACAGTGGAATGTCTGCCAAGACCGTGACTGCACCCCTAGTAGCGAAAGTGTAGCAGTGGGAATGGTTTCACAGTTTGAACTCCACTCGGCTACAGCTTCTTGTCATAAGGTCTGTGTTCAGTGTGTCCAAGATGCTCTTTATACGTCCACAGGTAACGGTGAACCGCAGACCCTGGCTGTACAATAAAGGAGTAAATCAAATTGGAGGATTTGTCAAGGAATTCTCCAATCTTGCTTTTGTCACGATAAAGGTCTGTCAAATCTATCCAGTATTCTCTGCTGCCACTCCACTAAGTAAATGCAAATAATTGGTCTTGTGCTGTTTGTAATCACAATATATTCTCTTTTCACCCTAGGGCGCGGGTCACATGGTGCCAACTGATAAACCACAAGCCGCCTTCACCATCTTCAGCCGTTTCCTTAGGAAGGAACCTTACTGAAGGTGGCGGGCGAGGAATGGGGAGCAGCCACCACGGCAGGCGGCTTGAGTTTACCGATTCAAGCCTAATGCCAAACTCTCGTCCCGAATCCCTTCTTAGTTTTACTTCTCAGGTGCTTATCAGTTCCCTTTTCAATGATGCTATTGATCCAACCTCAGAGGCTACTTGTAATGAATTCCTTCTAACTTCTCCCTAATTTTCTGCTTAAAAACCCTGAGACTGTGTCACCTATTGATTGTCATCTATTCCCCAACTAAAGGAAATAATTTCCCCTATCACTCTGTTACACTCCTTCAGTATGTTGATTATGTCTATCAATCTCCTCTGTTCCATTGGAAAATGAGGCCAACCACTCTTCTCAAACTTGGTAATCATGTTGTGAAAATATCTATAAGGCAAAGGTCCAAAAGCGCTTTTTGAATCCCTTAAGGTGTCACTGTTTTCAGATGGTCTCTGGAATAGCGATTCCTTACAGTATATAGAAATACAATCATTTGGTGTGCTTTTATGACTCTTGTGTATGTGGTGGCAGAATTGTAAACTGGTTGAGCAGGTGAGAAGTAATTTAAGAATCAAGGTCCTTTCAGCTCTTCCACCAGTCTGGTAGCTGCATGCACAGATTACGTCCCAAACTGTATACTGGTCTAATTATTGCTGGGTACTTAAGGGGAACTGCAGCTTCTGTATGTTGCACGTGTCTTTTATATAGCAATTTACTATTTACTCTAACAAGAACCTCTGTGAATCCCAATGTCTCTTAGTATTTTTCAAACATGGATCCTGTTCTCTGCCTTGTGAAAAATAATAATCCTTGCATTTGATATAGCGCCTTATATTGACAAGATGTCTCAAAATGTTTCATAGGATTTGCTGTAAAGTGTAGTGACTGGGTTTTTTGGGGGGTCCAAATCCCTGACTGTCCATTCCTCCTGAATGTAATTTTGTATTGTATCTACATGCTCCCCCTTGGTGATGTCATTTGCAAAAATGGGGTCAATTTCCACATGTATGCGGAGATGCCCAAATCTACTTCTCCTGCTCCTCCAGCTCAACACCAGGTCCTTTGATGTTCTGTCAGCTAGTTTGAAAGAAGCTGAATGACATCAGAGGCTGGATGAGCGCAAACTTTCTGCAGCTGAATGTTGACAAACCGGAAGCCATACTCTGGCTCCAGTCAAAGTTTTCTGCCCTGCAACTCTGACTTGCTCAATCATCCGCCCACAGCCTGTCCCGCAGACTCACCGAAACTATGTGCAACCTAGGCGTGTGGTTCGACACCCAGCTGTCCTTCCCACCCCCGTTCCGGTCCCCGACCAGGACCGCCTACCTCCATCTCTGAAACATTGTCCGCCTTTGATGATACCTTACCCTGATTGCAGCTGAAATATTTGTCCACGTGTTCATCACGTCCTGCCTTGTCTACTCAAATTCCCACCTCACACGTCTCCCCAGCGCCACTATCCACAAAATCCAGTTAATCCAGAACTCTGCCACCTGTATACTCACTTGCACTAACCCTGTAATCACATTGCACCAGTCCTTACCCCCACCCCCATGCTCACCATCAGCCTCCGCCACGATCAAGCGCTTTGAAACGTTACCCTGCTTGGGTGGGGAGTGGAGGGCTAAATAAATGCAATTTGTTGCTGCTTCTAGGAGAAATCTTGTAAATTGTGGTACATGAGTGTTGATCGCTTGCAACCAGTAAGATTAGAGAACTTTTCATTGTGTGCTTACAATAATAATTAACCCTTGCATTTGGTCAAGTGCCTTAAAACGTCAACATTTGGGTTTTCTGTAAAATGTAATGACTGTATATTTGTGTAGGTGAATGCAGCAGTCAATTTGTGGACAACAATCTCCCATAGACTGCGAGGGAGTGAATGTTCAATGTTTTTTTTCTGTTGGCCCGGGCACCCCAATTCTTCATTCATATCATGCATGGGATACTTAACATCCACCTGAACAGGCGGATGAGACTTCAGTTTAAAATCCTATCTAAAGTGTGCACCTCTGAAAGAAGTGCCACGTTAAACACTGCATTGGAGTGCCAGTACTCACTGACTGCCTCAGATGCAGAAGCCACTGTTTCAGCAGCAATTCCTAACACGCACATGCGCGCGCGCGCTCTCTCTGCAGGTGCAGTGTGTGCGTCTTTTCTCTGTGAGGGTGCTGTGTGTGTGTGTGTGTGTGTGTTCACTATGAGGGTACAGTTTGTCTGGAATTGAGTCTTGCTTGTAATAGTGTTCCACATGATATTTTTTATTTGGAATCATTTTAATGAAACGCACAAAATTTGCATTCCAGCAGTCTGAGCACTTTGCTTTCTAATTAAAGAGAAAAAGATGATTCATTCTGAATAACTTATTTGTTTCTCTGATCAGTTATCATGCATCCTCTGCTAATTTGGCCGAGTTGGCAATCATAATGGTTGGTTCCACCATTGGCAGGCGTGCTTTCAGCCACTGCACCCAACACTATGGAACTCTCTGCCTCAATCCATCTGCCTTGCCCACTCCTTAACCGCCTTCAAATCAAATGTGAAGACCTACTACCTCTTTGACCATGTGTACAATCACATCTCGCCCCCACCCTCTCCCAGGCTCAAGCCCTGGTAGTCTAGGACACTGGGGCAGGGATTCTTCCCACTCAGCTCATGTTAACCTTGCGGGCCAAAGCCTTCACAGGTAGGGTGGCCTTAGCTCCAAACAAACAGTGGAAAGTTTGCCAGATCTGGTTCTCAATGGCAAGCTACGTAGTATTAGCTGCTTCCAACGCGTACTTGGGTCCCCGAGCCTTGGCTCTTGCCAAGTGTGGCACCTCATGCTCTGTGGAATTTGTTAAGGGAGGGGGGGTGCATCGTCCCCGTCCCCCCCGCCCGCCCGCCCGCCCGCCCGCCCACCCCCGTGGAGAGCGCGAGCATTCCATTCCAAACAGCCTGGGTGGCCGACGTGGAACTTCTTGATTCGGGTCCTTCGAGGCCGGGGTGTCCGGCGCCCAACTGATCGGACACGAAACCGGTGCAGCTGAGGCATCTTCTGGGCGGGTACATCTGTCAGGACCCGCACCTGGAGACACATCTGGGACTGAAACGCCCTTCATTCCATCAGGTTTGTGGGGGTGTGTGGGGGGGGGGGGGGGGGGAGGAGGAGTGAGGTCACTCCACGGGTTCCAATTGACGTCAGCGCCCCTAGCAACCATTCATAAAGCGCTGCCAAACAAGGGTGCGCGCCCAGCGCCGCCGGCCAATCAGTGGGGGAGGGGCGCGGCATCGGGGCGGGGCGCGTGGGGAGGGGAGCACGTGATGACGCTGGACGTTGGGCGCGAGGTGGAAGCTTCCAGATCGCGGCGGTGGGAGCGGCGGCGAGTGGCCTATTAGCCGAGGAGCCGCCGCGGAGCTCAGGCCGCTCACACCCCGGGAATAGAGTGCCGCGAAGCCGCGAGGGAGGGCCGAGCGCAGGTTGGAGAACAATGAAGATCTGGACCTCGGAGCACGTCTTCAAGTGAGTTACGCGCCGACCGCCGGACCACCCCCCGGGGGGACATTGTGGGGCTCAGGCCCCCCCCCACTAGAGGGGACATTGTGGGGCTCAGACCCCCCCCACCAGGGGGGAACATTGTGGGGCTCAGGCCCCCCCCCCGGGGACATTGTGGGGCTCAGGCCCCCCCCCACTAGAGGGGACATTGTGGGGCTCAGGCCCCCCCCCCCCCCACTAGAGGGGACATTGTGGGGCTCAGGCCCCCCCCCACTAGAGGGGACATTGTGGGGCTCAGGCCCCCCCCCCACTAGAGGGGACATTGTGGGGCTCAGGACCCCCCCACTAGAGGGGACATTGTGGGGCTCAGGCCCCCCCCCCCACCAGGGTGGACATTGTGGGGCTCAGACCCCCCCCCCCACCAGGGGGACATTGTGGGGCTCAGACCCCCCCCCCCCACCAGGGGGGACATTGTGGGGCTCAGGCCCCCCCGGGGCGGGCGCTGCTGTGAATGGCTGTGACTGAGTTCGGCTGCTGTCCAATAATGATAATAATAATAATAATAATAGTCGCCGACATCATCATCGGCCTCGGGTTTGCTGCAGCGCCTTATCCCATCGCTGAGGTGTCTCGAAAGCATTCAACAGAATATACTCTGAAGGGAATTGACTGTCTATTTCGTGGTCCAAAATGTGTGAGTCACCAATAGAGGTTAAAGGCCAAGCGCTCCCCTCCCAGCAACAGGACACCATCCCGAGCCTTTATTATCGTAATCCTCGCATTTGTTATATAGCACCTTATCACATCATTGAGAGGCGTCTCAAAGCGCTTCCCGGAACACGCTGTAGCACACTGTTATTTATTAGTGCAGATTGGCAGATTTTTTTTTAAACCCAACCCCTCGCCCTTTCACCGGGGCTTCTTGGTACCTCTGCCCAAACCTCTCTTTTAAACATCCCTCTCGATTGCACAGATTGAGTGGAACTCGCAGTAGTTTGGTTTGGAGACACTTGAAGGATTTCCATTTGATTTCCATTTGGCACCCGACTGAAGGAAAAAAACACTGTTGAAGGTCAGCCCTCAACTTCTCCATACCAAATGCTTACCAATGAGTGCACACGGGGTTATGAGCTGCTGAATTTCATGAAGGCATTCCTTAGGAAAGGCTGTTTTTTTTTTAAAAAAAGAAAAATACCCAAAATGCTTTCAGGGTACTTGGATTGATCAATTCACTTTTTGACTTTTTTTAGGCAAACAAGTTATGGTTACCTTGTTAGACTTTGCCTAGTGGAGGTTTAAGTTGTGTATGTTTGGTGTGTGGTGATATATATGCGTCAACTAAACAATTTTTCTTTCTCTAGCCATCCGTGGGAAACAGTTTTCAAAGCTGCCATGCAAAAGTATCCAAATCCTATGAATCCAAATGTAGTAGGAGTAGATGTATTAGATCGGCGTGTTGATGAACAAGGAAAGTTGCATAGCCACAGACTGCTCAGCACAGAATGGGGGTTGCCGTCTGTTGTTAAATCAGTAAGTAATATTACACTATTACTAGATTTTGCAAACCAAGCATCGTCCCCAAACATGGGCGAATGATCTGCTCCCAGCCTCCTCCTAATGCTGCTCGCTTGCTGGAAGGACTGATCTGGTGAAATAATTTTTCTCCCTATGGGAAGACGGTATTGTTGCGTAAAGTTAGTCAGAAATTGAAGCTTCAAAGTTCTGATGTTCTAATAACTTGGCTTAATCTTGTCCTTGCATGATTTACGTAGACATATTTTCCAGCAGCAGGCACGGGATAGGGATAAAAAGGAACCTCAGATAATAATAATAATCCTTGCATTTGATATAGTGCCTTATCACGTCTTTGTGTCTCAAAGCGCTTCACAGAATATACTGTGACGTAAATTGATTGTATATTTTGTGGGCGAAACGCGGCAGCCAATTGTGCACAGCAGTGAACCACAAACAGTCGTGGGTTGAGTGACCAATTTATTATCTTAAGGAATTATTACCCCCAAAAAAGCAATCCACCGATCGACTAGCAGCTGGGTTCGTACTTACTGCTGCGTAAACAGAAGTGTGTGGAGTAAAGAAACTTGCCCAATGTTTCGCCCTGCTTGGGATTGAACCCAGGTCTCTTGCTTGCGAGGCGAGTGCTCTAACTACTAAGCTACAAGACTCCACAAATAGTATTGTTACATGGATGAATTTTCTATTCCAAGATTTCTCATGTAACCTGTGTCCTATACTAGTTTCTCTTTACTGTAAAATTCGCTCTTTGTAGACGGTTTGCTTGAAACAACTTTATAAACTTGGGCTTATTGTACATGGCTTCCCTGTGTATCCACAGCAGAAGTGAAGCCGTGTGATATAGTCAGTTGCAGCTCTGATGCTGTTATTTAGCAGCTGATCAGGAAAAGACTGAATGAAACCCACGGTGAAAGAAACACTTTCGCTTTCTAAAGTCCATTGCTATAACCTATGAGCAGAACTATACTGTATTCGTAGCGAATGGGGAGAAATTCCAAATATCAGCATTGTGACCTCACGCTGCTTTTAAATCCCAGTGCCAGAGGGACTCTCGATCAGAGGCCGACACTGATTGTTGCTCTTTAAAGCAAATCTAGCTTTTACGATCATTAATGTTTTCTCGTTTCTTTTTTCCTAATCAACTGATACCGAAATAACTGCAGCACAATGTGTCCGAATATCAGGCTCCTAGGCTTTTTTTCTATTTAAGCTAACATTATTTAAGCAAAACCAATACGGTAGCAGAGTAATATAATTACTATTTTTACACAGCAAATAATAGGATGTGAACTCGTGTTTTGCCACAATTATTCAGTTGATTGAATAATCCACATGATGCAGCATGCATTCTGTCAAGCAGAGAAAATGTTGCTATTCAACAGTATAGAAGCAAGATGGAGCACTGACAAAACCACATACCCTGAATATAGAGATGACCAAAAAAGCATCTTGAATTTTACTCTCGTAAACTGATGAGAGAGTGCGTGAGAGGGGGTAGAGAAACAATGATTGAGAGAGGGAGAGAGAATTGAGGGCAGTCTTTTGTGGTTCACTGTCAGGGCAGACGATTGGATTTTATCTCAGCCGCTGTGGGGTTGGGGCGGGTGAGGACAGACACCAGGCGACATGCCGTACAGTTTCCTCACAGAAAGCTCCATCTTTCCCCAGTGAAACATTTCTCTACATCCTTTATTCCGCGCCCTCCTCATCCTACCTCTGTGACCTCCCGACCCAGCCGTTCCCTTTGCAGAGCAAACACCAGCTTACCCCACTTCCTCCCCTCTTTCGCAGCATGTCAAGACCTAACTCTTTGACCACACTTTTGATCATTTTTTTCTCATCCCCGTCCCACTTCTCGACTCCCACCCCCTGCTCAGGTGCCCAGCCAACAAGTGTTGAGCCCTTTCCAACGTGAAAAAGGTACCGTATAAATGTTGTTGGATTTCTGGCAGGGAAACACAAAATATGGCTTATGCGGCCTGCAGACCATTGTCAAATAGGGAATCCGGTACGTGGCAGCCAAAAGGTTGGAGGCAAATTGTCTGAAAAGCAGATAAGAATTCAATATTTTATTACATTGGTTCTATGATTAGGTGGGTAAAGGCCAGTACAATAGAGCATTCAATGCTGACTTAAGTGTTTCCAAGCAAGATCTGATAGGATAGCAAACCACGTGATTGACCCTTTGTAGTTGTCACTGAGCAAGTCTTCCTGAATTCTTTGTATAACTAAATGTGAGAATCGGAGGCCTGAAAATTATGCAAGGTGACCTTAGAGTACTACCCTGCAGCAGCTGCTCAGCGATTGAGAATATCGCAATGCTGGAGTTTGCTTGGTTCAAAAAGTCAGGACATAGTATGCCGGTGAGATAGTTTGGATAGGTTCTGCCAAAAGAGATCACATGAGGATATGTAGTGCAAAGTCCGTCACTAAACACCTTTTGACCTCTTACAAGCGCGTCATTTGTGATGGTGACGTTTAGCCCACTTTAATGTCAGATGTTGGTTTGAGATCCAATGCATTGCTTTAGTCTAAATATAACTAAAAGTAAAGAGAAGACTTTTTAAAATTAGATGACCTTAATGGATTCAGATATTATATTACAAGTGAAATTTTTGCTTTTTGCTGAAATTCCGCCAAAATACTTTGAGGTAACTTATCCTATAACTTGTATGTTCAACTTTTACTGCAAGCAGTGGTGTTTCCGATGGCTGTTGGCACAGCAACTCCACGCACACATTTTATCAGTTAGAAATGGAGGCTCACACCTATTGTAAAAAAGTTACTCACCATTTATTTTACTTCTTATGCTAATAGAAGTGGTACTCCAAATCGGCAAGATTATTTTTAATGGCCTAACTGCGGAAAAGGACATGCCACTACAGTGATGGGCATCTTTGCCAAACATTAAGAATTTTCAGATGTGGAGCTCATATTTCAGCTTGATTTGGATACTCTTAAGCACGGTGATGGCTTTTTCCAAAAAAAATAGGTTTACAGCAGCTCTGATAAACTTGGACAAAATGTTTAAAAAGCTGATGTCTTTCTTCTAATTATCCAGCTTATCGGAGCATCAAGGACAAGGACGTATGTTCAAGAACACTCTGTTGTGGATCCTGCGAAGCGGACCATGGAGCTTAAATCGGCCAATGTTCGTACAGTAATTTACAGTGATTTGTAAAACAAGTTTTTAAAAACAATTAAGCATAATACCTAAAAGACTAAGACCCAATTTCCCAATGTGTGGGAATCATGAGGGAGTAACTGAGCTCATATTGTCTGACCAAAGGAAGTGCATATGTTCTGGAGTTCTATATCTGATTAACAGCAAAGCTACACAAGTTTATGAATGATGAGGAAATCCTCTTATATGGTTACATTCAGTAGTTACAATAACCTACAATGGTTTCTGAATAAAAGTTGAGAAACATGAAAAAAGACAGTCAATTTGCATGCAGCAATGTCCCACAAACAGCCTTCTCTTTTCACATATTAGGAATATCTACCTCAATATGAAGATGAGACCCTAGGTACCCCATGTCACTACCTGAAAAGAGAAGAGAGTTTCTCCACATGTCCTGGCAAATAATTCCTGAGCTAAAATTGGTTATTCACATCATGCCTGTTTCGGGTGGTGTATAATGTTCCTGAATTACCTCTGAATTTTATCTCATAATCTTTCAGAACTATTTGCAATGACAGTCTCAGACACCCCCCCAACTATAATGCTAACTAATTTAATATTAGTATTTGAAAGGCTGATGTATAAACATCACCAGAAGACCCCAGAAAAATAAGTACAAATGCAGAGGTTACTAGTTGCTCAGGATTGTTAGCAGAAAAATTATGGTAGAGGTTAGGATGAATGCCTTCACTCTGAGAGGCGTTACACAATTCCTTAGTACAAGTAGCTATTGAGGCTGGAATAATAGAATTATTCAAAGGGAGAATTGTATAAGAACCTGAGCAGAAAATCATTGCGTGATGTGACAGCTTGAAAGTGGGATTAATTTTAAAAAAGACGATTTAGAAGAATGGTTCGCGGTGTCGCAGATAAGATGGCCGAATGGTTACTTTCTTGGTTGAAAATTTCTCTGCTTGTTAAATATTAATTCTTGAATTTGATATAGCACTTTATCGTGTTGTCAGAGTGTCAACGCATTTCACAGGCCTTTTCCTGTGTAGTGAGTGTTTTGTAGACACACATATTTTGTAAATCAAGCTGCTAAAGAGTTTTCCACATAGATCTAGAACCATTCCCCTTTAATAGTATTTTTTTGATAAACCTGTTGATTCACTGATGTCAGTTTTCTGGGCTCACAGAATCTCCCTTTAATCCTCTTCCTTCCTGTTTATTTACAGATAACTTTAACTAATTTAGTATCAGTAGATGAAAGATTGATATATAAACCTCACCCGCAAGACCCAGAAAAGTAAGTAAAGCACAGAGATTACTTTGTGCAGAGACTTTTATGTGTTAATTATATCTGTGTGAAAGCTTTTGACGTGTTCTCAGTGGTAATTTTCTTGAAGGATATAAATACATCTGTATCCAGTCCTTTTCTCCTAGTACAGAAATTTATATATATATATATATATATATATATACACACACACACATACATGCAGGTAACCTACACCATGTGGTTACTCAAGGGCTCTAAAGTGGTCAATAGCAGTTCACTTAACTCTTTATCCCTGTGAGAGTGAAGATATAAGAGCTTAGATTGGGTGAATTGGCACAGCTATTACATTATATTCCTTAGAGCTTAGAAGATTGATAAAACAACCACAAAATCCTTTAGAAGTGAGCTTTATTTACAGTGAGAGCTATGAAAATGGAAGCCATAGCTCTCAAAGGCCACAGTGGTAGAATTAATTGGAATGTTTGTATAAAATACCTAAAAATTCTCCTGTGCTTCTTAGCTGCTCAAAGCAAATGGTCTATTGTATGTATGGTATAATATGAGTGGGGGGAAGCTGGTAATGACAGTTATCTTCCGTTCAAGTATTTTTTACCTGTGATAGTTAATGCATTATCATGTAATTTCAGGACCATCCTTACCCAAGAAGCAATCATCAGCGTAAAAGGAGTCAGTCTGAGCAGTTACATGGAGGGAATGATGGCTAGCACCATATCCGCTAATGCAAATAAAGTGAGTAGAAGGGGTATTGGGACTGATCGCTATATAATGAACTGCACATTGGGTTCAGGGTTTATCTTTCACCAGTATTCTTAGAATCTGTTCTCATAAATGATCTGTACGTAACGGTATGATCCCAAGAGGTTGATTCCCTTTTACCAGTACCAGTGTTTTGAATGCACCGCTTCCAGTTACTTACATTCCTAGGATGTAAGGTTCAGTTTCAAAATAAAAATGATGTAATGAGCTTGCCCAATGGTTTAAGTGGTAAATCTGTTAACTGATAAACTAGTTTTGGTCAACTGGATGTCTAGCACATGTGGAAGCTGTTGTTGTGTTTAATCCACACAAGACCTGAACATTCCACATATATACAATAAAACATTTATGTAAAGCGTTTCATGTCAGGATGGCATCTCAAAGCCCGTATTCATGTCACATATGCATGGAAATTTCCCTGTATCTAGATTCTAGTGCGTACTCTGTTTTTCTGGAGAGAGATACACTGCTTATCTAATTCTGGTAGGTATTGGGCAGGTCGGTAAGACCCCAAGACTTCTGAGATTTGCCTCTCCACAAGTCTTGCTAAAGGCCAACGCTGGCAGATCTATGATTAGCAATGCCTTCAGATACTAATAATAATCCTTGCATTTGATATAGTGCCTTATCACGTTTTCCAAGACGTCTCAAAACGCTTAAGATAACTGTGGACTCTCCTGTCTCAGAGACCGAAACCACCACAGAGGATCATTCAATTTTGAAGTTCGATTTCCAAGCAACTCAACCTGCTTACTCTCCTCCTCCTCACCCTGGACGTGTGAAACTAAATCATATGGATTCAAATGATAAGTTTTAGAATGAGTTAGCTGTCCTTAGCCAGGGCAGCAGTTGGAGGGCTGAGGTTGGGAGTACGGAGCTGCAAAGTGCATGATTAGGTTTGTCTGATACTCCTACTCTTCAAGTGATATGTTAGCCTAGATAACGCTTTAAGACGTCCTCCCAGAATGACAGGCACTGCATAATGTACATTGTACTGTTATCTTGGATGAGAGGAGACACTGGAAGCTTTCCCCTCCCCCACTTGAGTCAGCCCTTTCAGGAGAGGTAGAAAATTAGAAGCAAACAAAAACTAAGAATGCATTGTTACAGTTGTTGACCTTCAGTCCTGTGCAGTCCAAGCAAAACAAACTCCTATCTCAGAAATGATTTGGTAATCGTTTAAATCAGAACACTTTTGTTATACTTTTAAAGTTCCTCACTAATCTAGCTATATTGAATTACATTTCTAGCTGGTTTGTAACTTCATAACTAAGTATCTTATGTTTTTCTGTGCAGGGACGTGAAGCAATGGAATGGGTGATTCATAGGTTAAACGCTGAAATTGAAGAGCTAACGGCATCTGCACGAGGATCTATAAAAATACCAATGGCCGCAGCATCAGCAGAGTGACAGATGAATGGGTTACACAGACCTACATAAACTAACTCTGGGGTATTTAACCTACCACTTCCCACTGTGCATTTCATTCCTCATCACTAGGGGTCCCATTCTAATCTGTTCAAAGCTGATGTATTCTATATTTTATACAGGTACATGAAGGTGATGTTTTGATTAGAATCGTGCCCCCGATGACCAGCAATATTTTTTTGATAACTGCATTGGAGTGATTCAGAACTGATGCAGAGAGAGAAGTACTAGATTTAATAATGAGTACTGTTGTGTGAAAGAAGACTGGAGGAAAATTAAGTCACAGTAATTTGTTCATGAGTGCGATTCGAATACCAATGTCAATATTTTACAGACTGAGTGCTTGCAAAAGACTTAATGCAAAGTGGAAGGTTAGGTGCTGTTTTTCTGAAAGGTGTAATAGCTTTTATCAAGTGCAGTACCTAAATATGCCAATATTGTACTCCTATTAAGAGGGACACTTGGTATTTAGATTCGGCTTTAAAACCTAGAACTTTGGGAATCCTGAATTTTTTTTGTGGCTTTGAATATCTGTAACTAATTAACTAATTTCTAGCTCTACTGTGGAGCAAGAATTTTGCTTGCAGTATTAAAATGGAAGGCAAACTTGAAATTTACTTTTGACGTAAAAAGATAGCGTACAAAGGACCGAAAGGCGGTCTCCTGGGCTAAAAGACATCTTTTTCTGTGTAGAAAAAGGTCAACCATTCAGGTTCAATGTGCTTTTTGTATTGATATCTTGAGATATTGTGACATTCCTAACTCAGTAAAATATTATTACTGAAAGTTTTCTGTATATAGGAAATAAAACGCACAAGGCCTGTTGAAATGAAAGTCATGAGACATTTCATTTACTATTTTTGACCTGAGATCTTAAGAGATCATTAACATAAAACAGTACTTTGACCCCAAATCTCATTACTTCTGCCTTTTAAACTAAACACTCAGGTTGCAGTAGAGCCTCATAGCACGGACGTATCATACTACCTCGGTTATATGTTGCTAATGTTGCCTCCTGTTTTCTGACAATTAGTAGAATTTTGGCTGAAGTGTAGGACTGTTTCTGGGACTGAATGGCTGTTGACTGAGTATATCTGTGCTAGAATATTCGTGACCAATTCCTGAATTAAAGAAACATCTTCTGTAGCATTAAATGCAATCGAGCCATTATATGGGAGAGTTCAGACAGTAAAATGTTCTGTGTATGATGCATTTAACTAACGGAAGCGGCCTTAAAAACGTATGATGTATTCACACGTTCAATAAACTTGGCTGCCCATTGGTTTAGTTTGCAAAATCACTGGTCAGTGGGACTAATGCACATAGACCAGGAAGATACCAGGTCCAATCACAGTATTCTAGGTTAGTTTAAAATTCAACTTGACAGAATGCAAGTTGATCAACCAGGATCACCAGTCCTGATTGCTAGCCATTGCCAGTCTTGTGTGGTAATAATTACCCTCTGCTGTCGAAAGGTGTGCTAATGGTTACTGTCTGAGTACTGTTGTGGAGTCCTGTAGCTCAGTGGTTAGAGCACTCGCTTTGCAAGCGAGAGACCTGAGTTCAATTCCAGGCAGGTCAGGGCGAAACCTTGGGCAAGTTTCCTTACTCCACACAGAGCCTAATAATAATCCCTCCAAAACCAAAAACAATAATAAATTGGTCATTTTCAATCTACGACTGTTTGTGGGACATTGCTGTGCGCAATTGGCTGCCGCGTTCGCCCACAAATACACAGTCAATTCACTTTACAGTGTGTTCTGTGAAGCGCTTTGGGTCGTCCTCCCGACATGAAAAGCGCTATATCAAATGCAAGGATTATTTTTATTACTGTCATAAGGCAATTGAGCAAAGTACAAGAGAGTGGCTGAGGCCTGTGGAATTCTTTCTTAGCAGTAATTGGTGCCCTTCAGGAGAACAAGGGGAACATTGAAAGAAAAACCTCCAGCTCTGCTAAGCTCTTTGGAATCTATTTCACCTTAATTTTGTGCTTAGAAAATTTAAAGCAATTGAAAATCTTTCATAAATTTTGAAATTGTTTTAATATTTGCAAAAATATTCTGTTTAGCAATGACTTGCTGTATATTTAGTTACTTTTGAATAATCTAATTCTGAAGAGGATGACTGAGCCAGTTTATATTCAGTGACTGGTTTTAACTTAACCATAGAATAGGCTTGATTCTGGGCTTTCCTCTCAGTCCAGCTTCATGCAGGATGTCTTACCTATTTTGAACTCTCCAGCTTTGTAATTGCTTAATTATTTGTTAGGGATCTGGAGGAATTGCCCTCCACAAAATCTCTTATTAAACAGAATAATTGGTATTGCTCAGAAGTTCGGTTTGAATGCTGCTATCACACAGAAAAATCGACCTTGACTGAAAATAATCTTATAAAGTGTGCTGTATGGCTGTCTCACATGTACCATGTTTTACTCTATTGTATTTACATGGATTAATGCCTAATGAGTACAGGAAGTGCAATACCTGAACTATGTTATTGTCTACTATTACAGAAGAGCAGGTCTTTGTTGGATATTCTACTGTATGTTCCTTGCATATCGCATGCTAAAACAGTATGCTGAGAATATTACTGCACCAATGAATGAAGACATGGGTGGAATGTTGGTAACCTGATGAGTACGGTATTGTTTGCTGTTTCACATATTTGTGCAAAATAGTATCACCTTTTGCACCTATCTCCACCTGTCACCTCTATATCACCTGTAAGGAAACGTGCTCTGCACCAAGCCTTTTATTTTTAAAACTAAATGGTTTTGCAATGAAATAAATATCTTCTGGGTTCAGTCTGGAGGTTTTGCAATGGCTGCACACAGCATAAAGTAACTTAGTGCCAAGATCCAATAAAAATATTACCAGATGTGGATATTTAAAGATACCAATAGCTTAATGCTTGCATCTTATCACCAATGCATGAAACCTCGCCTGTCACAATTTGTTCATTACTTTACTTCAAAGCAGCCATGAGGTGCTAAAGTCAACTGACTTAGAATGGGAGAAGCATCTAATCCTACGTTTTTGTGGGTCTAGTGAAAATGATGCAGTCATTAAGGAATTGTCTTCAAGGCATCACCACCACTTCCCCAATTTGTGTTTGTTAAAGATTTAAAACCTAACTCATTGAGTGAGGCTTCAAGATCTCAGTGCCTACACGTTCAATGTTTTATATTTCATAGTAAACATTTGCAAAGAGAGAATTGACATTGCATTTAATTGGATTGTGTGCCTGGAGGAATCGTTCAGGGATTTAGCCTGTCATCTAGAAGAGACCATGTTGGATTCACAGTCATGACCTCTGGACCAGTCTATAACTGTTTGCTTTTGCAGCGTTCTTTTTTCATATGGAGGAGAAAAAAAGTCCTAAAACGATAATTGGGCATTGGTCCTAGTTGGCATTTTGGTGCAGGAAGACATTGTTGAAGTTAACTCATGTGACTAAGAAACATCCAAAGTTGACAGTGAATCAAGCTTCTTGAATTAAACCATAACACACAGTATTTTGTTTTCATTTTTTGTTTTGAAGGAATTGCTATATATCTCAAGAAAATTACTTCCATAAACATTTTTTTGTATAAAATATTATTTATTTTAATAGCACTGAACTGTACTTCAAAACAGCCAATTGTTTATCATTTTTAACTAACTGCTGTCAATAAAATTTGGTGTTTTAACCTTGAAATAATGCTTTTGCCTTCCATCATTTTGGTTTATTTAAGTGGTATTTTTTCCAATCACAGTTGGCTCTGCTGAATAAAATGTGTAAAGTATTGAGATTGTCTCCCTGCGTCCTGTTGGTTTGCCAATGTAGCACCTCTATTCAAAAAGGAATAAAGGGATGAACCAGCTAACCAAGGACCACATATCCTAACTTCTGATAGTGGATAAACATTTAGAAGTCACAATATGGGAAGGAAGACACATGGATCATAGAATTATACAGCACAGCAGGAGGCCATTCGGCCCATCGTGTCTGTGCTGGCTCTGGACAAAAGCTATCCAAATCAATTCCACTCCTCTTTCCCCAAATAATTATCTATTTAATATAATATGACTATACAGGATTTTGCAGCGTGGCTAGAAAGTTGGCTTCAGGACAGGAAGTGAGGTTGATGGATGTTTGTCAGACTGGAGAGATGAAAAAAAAGTGCTATCCCCGGGTTCGGTGTTGGGACCCTGTTTTTCTCACTTCAATATGGGGATTTGACTTCAAAAAGCCCATCGCATCAGTTGAGACGTCTCAAAAAGCGTTTCACGGAATATAGCGAAAAATGGCTATTTTGTGGGTGAAGCGCGTGCAGCCAATTGCGCAAAGTGGCGCTCCCCCCCCACTCCCCCTCTCCCTCCATCCCCTCCCACCCCACTCCCCCTCTCCCTCCATCCCCCCACTCCCCCTCTCCCTCCATCCCCCCACTCCCCCTCTCCCTCCATCCCCCCACTCGCCCTCTCCTTCCATCCCCTCCCACCCCACCGCGAACGGTTGTGGGTGGACCGACCGCGCAATTGGACCGCCGCGGTTCGCCCACAAATGTGCCGTCGGCTCACTTGGCTGCGTAACCTGCGCAGCGCTCGGGAGGCGTCTGGAATCCAGACGCGATGAGGCGCTGTGTCGGGCGCCGGGAATTACTATCCCGAGAGCAACGGCGTCGTTGGAACATCGATGGCTATATCATCAAAGCAATGTTTTCGCCTTCAGCTCCGCTCTCGACTCTCTACCCCCTCCTCCCCCCCTCCTCCCTCCCTCCCTCCATCCCTCCCTCCCCCCTGACCATTCCCCCCCCCACCACTGCTCGGGTCCCGACCCAACTGTGCAGCGCCTCGGGACGTCCTCCCGACGTGAAAGACGCTCTATATGTGCCATGTTGTTGTTGTTGTTGTTGTTGTTGTTCGACAGCAACGTCACTGACAGCCGCTGATAGGCGGATTCGCCAGGTCCACACCGCACGTGATCAGCACACTGCAGGCTTGTGATTGGCCCGTCGGCTGCCACCCGATTGGTCAGAACACCAACCCCGCCTCCTCCCTCCCTCCCTCCCTCCCTCCCGCCCACCCTCGGAAAAAACGCTGCCGTGATTGGCCGCTTGGTTTAGCGGGCGGCTTGCCGATTGGCTGCCTGGCTGGCCTTCCCGTGATTGGTCCAGGGTCGGTCGGGCACCCGCTTCCGTCGGCGCCATCTTTATTAAAGCCTCGGTCGGACGGTCGGAGCGACGGCGGGTCGAGATGGTGGCTTTCTGGCGGCAGGCTGGCCTCAGGTACCGCGGCGGCCGGGAGCGTGTGACCGGGGCCGGCGGGCGGGCGGGAGGCCGCGGGGCCTCGACGGCAGGTCCCCAGCTGCGGCCTGAGCTGCCCGTGGCCCCTGGGCGAGCCGGTCACCTTGAGGCCTGCGGGACGAGGCCGCAGCTTCGGGCGCGAGACGTTCTCGCTTCCCCCCCCCCACACCCCCCCCCCCCCGCTCCCGGGGTGACCAGGCACCGGGACTCGCGGGAGTCCGAAGGAGGGAGGGAGGGACCTGGGTCGAGTTTCCTTCCTCCACGCCGCGCGCGGGGGTCCTGATAACGAACCCTCCAGAGAGAGAGAGAGAGAAAGAGAGAGGAAAAAAAAGAACAATAACAATTAAAAAAAAAAGAACAATACCGAATCGGGCGTTTTTCGATCCCCGGCTGTTTTGCGGCGACGCTGCCGCCTTTCGCCCACGGGCGTATACCTTACGGTTCACTTTCCGGCCCATTCCGCGAAGCGCTCTTGAGACGGCGAGAAGACGCGAGCGAAAAAAGCGCTCTTGCCAAACGCGAGGGTCGCTGTTGTTATCCGTCGTAGGATTATGCGGCACCGAAAGAGGCCATTCCGCCCATCGCGTCTGTGCCGGCGCAGAGCTCTCCAAATCAATCCCACTCCCCCCCACCCCGCTCTCACTCTCCCCATAGCCCTGCAAACTTGTCCTCACCAAATAATTATCTACTTCTCTCTTAAAAGTTGTTATCGAATCGGCTTCCACCGCCCTTTCAGGTAACGCATTCCAGATCCCGACAACTTGCTGTGTGAAAACATTTCTCCTCACCTCCCCTCTGTTTCTTTTAACAACTATTTTAAATCGTGTCCTCGGGTTACTGACCCACCCGCCAGTGGAAATAGTTTCTCCTTCTTCACTCTATCGAATCCCCTCATAATTTTGAAAAGTTCCATTAAGTCTCCTCTTAACCTTCTCTGTTCCAAGGAGAATAATCCCGGCTTCTCTCGCCTCTCCTGATAACTGAAGTCCCTCTTTCCTGGTACCATCCTGGTCAATCTCCTTTGCACCCTCTCGAATCCTTGACATTCTTCCTAAAGTGTGGGGCCCAGAACTGAACACAGTCTCTCGCTGAGGCCTAACCAGTGTTTTATAAAGGTTCATCATAACTTCCTGACTTTTGTATTCTATGCCCCTATTTATAAAGCCGTGTATCCTGCCACCTTCAAAGATTTACTTATATGAACCCTCAGGTCTCTCTGTTCCTTCACCCCCTTTATGACTGTACCATCAGCTTATATGGCCTCTCCTCATTCTTCCTCCCAAAATGCATCACTTCGCATTTCTCCACATTAAACTTCATCTGCCCCGTGTCTGCCCACTTTACTGGTCTGTCTATGCCCATTTGCAGTCTGCTACTATCCTCCTCACTGTTTAGTATTTTTCCTAGCTTGGTATCATTGTGACGGATTCTAGTCTTGATTCCTGAGTCAGGTGGATCCGCAGTATTCCAAGGCACTGCTGATGACAGCCCAGCCTGGCTCATCGGTAGGACCTGGAAGGGCCGACCAGTCACTGGGGGTAGGGAGTCATCCCACTGAGCTCCTGTTAACCATGCAAGCCAAAGCCCAAACGGGTAGGGTGGAAAGCTTGCCAAAACAGCGATATCTATAGCAAGCTATGCAGTTTTAGCTGGTTAGACTCCAGCAGTACCCCAAACTTGCAAGCTAAAGCCCTTTGCTTTTAGGCTTGGTTGAAAAGTTCAAGCACTTTCTTTTCTTTCTAGTTACATCCAGTATTCTCGGATTTGTGCACAAGCAGTCCGGTCTGCCTTTAAACAGCAGCACCAGGCAGCAGCCCAGAAATCGGGAGAAACAAGCGTCAAAGTCATCAAACCTAAGAAGTCCTAATGTGTAAGTAGTGACCTCCCTGCAAGCAGGTTATTATGTGGGGAAGGATTTCATGTGAAGTGGCTTTTCTAAAAGGGGAGGGGAACTGCTGTATTCGTGAGTTTCCATGAGGTGTCACTCATGCCTTTTATTCCAAAAAGCTTGTTTTGAGACTGAACAAAGCTATACTCATTTTGGGAAATCAATAATACTGAAAATATCTTCAAATTCAATATCTGGTTTTGTTTTTCTAATAAATGTGCAGTTTTATAGTTGTAATATTACCCTGTTTAATCTTTATATTGTGATGGAACTAAAACAAATGTTATTCTATTAGAGATGGAATTAAAGTATTGTGGTATTGTTAAAATGAAATAAATGCTTTCGTGATTAAATAATGTTGTGGAGAATATGTTGATCCAATAAGATCGCTGAAATCATCAAATTTATCATTATAATCATGAATTTGCAATTAAATCTGTTGTAATAATTTAGTGAGGTTCAGACTTGAGAGTTATTATACTGGCAGAAATACAAGGAATACGAGTTCAAGTGTTGCTTGAATGCCAAGTGTAACTTGTGGAATATTTACTGTTTTGTTCTAGAATATTTTATCTGCGCTATATCAAATGCAAGATTTATTATTATGAAAAACTCCTCATTGCTTAGGGCCTTGGGACTCCTGATGTGAAAGGCCTATAGGAATGCTATAGGCCTATAGGAATCCTGTAGTTCAGTGGTTAGAGCCCTCGCCTCGCAAGCGAGAGACGTGGGTTTGGTTCCCGGCAGGGCTAAATGTTGGACAACTTTCCTTACTCCACACACCTGATTAGAAGCCAAACTTGGGTCACATCTATCTATAAGGTTCAGGACCATGTCAAACAGAACATTTACCAGTGAGACATTGGAGCTTCTGTAAAGCTCTTGCAAAGATTGAGTCTTGTTTGTACAGAATTTTGCGGTAAACAATGTACTGAACAAAACAGTTATTAGCCGCAGAGTACTGTGTGGTGCAACTGTCAAAATAGTCTGCTTGTCTTGTACACCACAACATGTGAGTTAAAGATACAATATACCTTACGCAAGTATTTGTACACTTTCAAATTCTTTCACAGACGCACTTACAAAAAGTTTTATTGTTGTAATGCAGTTACAACAATAAATAAATAAACAAACGGCTAATGCAGTTTTTTTTATATTATAGGATCCCGTGAAGTCCCAGGAAGCTGTGCTTTTGAATATGTGAGCACTCTTCATCAAGCCCTTGTTCGGAATTTCGTGTCAAAACTGCATATCTATCATACTGTAAATCTAATTTCTGAGGAGATGGTGTTGTAAAGCACATTAAAACAGCATGTGCTTCTGCAGATTATGGAGTCTGTGTCTGTCCAATCAGTGTCAATGCAATCTGAAACTGAATTTGGCGTGTGCTTGTCACTGTACCACATAAATAGTTCTGTTGTTATGCTATGGTTTGACAAATAAAATATTTAAAGATGTATTTGCTATGATTTCTTATTCTGAAAAGTTACACTTGTGAGCACAACAACAAAATTACATTTGTACAGCGCCTTTCACGTCGGGAGGACGTCCCAAGTCGCTCGACAATCAGTGTTTCCGATCCACCTTCAGTGGGAATTGTGCACTGTTCACCTGCTGGGTGTTACTCTATAACCAGTGCTGTGGTAAGGCTGTACCAGATTGAGGAGCAGTTTCTTCTGAACACTTTGGTGTACAGAATCAGAACTTTCAATGTTTAGGGTTCTCTGTCCCTTAAATAACTGAGTTGTTAAATGTCCAGTTTACTATGGAGAACTTCAAAGTCATACTCCTTGGGTCCCCATCAATGTCTCCCCTGCAGCTCTGACCTCCTTAACCTCCCCAGGCTTTTCCTAAGACTTATAGAACCTGTATGTAACCTGGGCTTCAGGTTTGACCCCCAGCTGTCCTTCCTCCCCCACTTCTGTTCCCTAACCAAGACCGCTTTCCTCCACCTTGGTGACAGGCAAGAAGGGTTCAATATAAATGCAAGTTGTAAGGAAACCGGCAGCTTCATTCCGATATACCTTCACAATATTGCTTCAAAATAGTATCACAGCTACTGATTAAAATTTGTCAAACTATAAATCTTGAGGACCGATTCATCAACAGAACTTGTATAACACCCTCTAATGTATAGATGTTCCAATGTAAGTAGTGTGGCTCTGTCTCTGAATTGAGTGAGTAGATGGATTAGAATATTACACTTTTTTCTATAGGGGCAAGGTGTTTTCTCGCATGGGTTTACTATAGTGAAAGAATAGCCGTTAAACTTGAATTCAATATAGCAAAGTAAAATGGATTTTGGATAACCTGATTTCAAATAAGACTGAATTCATAGCACAAAACTGTCCGTAATGTACCCATTACAAGTAATTCTGCTTTGCATTACATTCATAGTGATGTGACTCTTATCAGAAAAGCTGGAGTCGGAAAGAAAGGTGAGCTGCTTAGAGCACCCTCGTGTGACAACAGTCGGATGTTGTAACTGCAATAAAATCACCCATTGATTCAATAGTGTTTGTCTTGCCACTGTCTCTAAACATGGATAAAGATCAAGGAGTCTGATGCATGATTAGGGGCTCCAAACAACAGTAGCAGCAAACATCTCCTTGATTGAATATCCAAGTATTAAAACAATGGCCCTGCAATTGTTTGAGTACATCTTCAACATATAAGATATGAAAAGGCAACAGCTTTTTTTTGAATGTAAGTTCAGATTGAAATGTGTGTATACCATTATTACTGCTAGAAACAAACAGTAATAAACATTGAACTCAGTTTTAAATAGCCTGGAACAGAAGTGCACAGGAAATGTTTTACTCTGACTGCTGGTAAACAGAAAACAGATAACACTGGAAGTTCTATCCACAGGAAGCAGATAACAGAATTCCACACACAGAAATAAAATAACACGGATTGCTGTACACGAGGCATAATAGTAGACCCCTGTGCGCTGGAAATCATGAATATTGTATGTGACTACAGGAATGAGCCCAACAAAGCTAAATATTTGTTTGACTAGTTGTTGAATTCAAACATTAACATTAGATGCCTCTAGACTTCAAATAATAATAATCCTTACATTTGATATAGCAGCTTATCACATCTTTGAGACATCTCAAAGCGCTTCACAGAATATATTGTAAAGTGAAATGACTATATTTTGTGGGCGAAACGTGGCAGCCAATTGCACACAGCAGTGATCCAGAAACAGTCGTAGATTAAAATGACCAATTTATTATTTTTTTGAAGGAATTATTACCCCAGCAAATACGATACGCCAATCGATTAACAACCGGGTTCCTATTACTGCTAGGTAAACAGAGTCGTGTGGAGTAAGGAAACTTGCCCAACATTTCGCCCTGCCGGAAATCAAACCCAAGTCTCTCTTGCAATGCGAGTGCTCTAGCCACTGAACTATAGGAGTTCACGGTCAGTGGATTAGTTGAAATAAAACACAAATTTAGCAAATATGTATTTTTACTTATAATATTTTATCCATGTAATCAGAAACAACGCACACCTTTATACAACAGTCATGGAAACACTTAGCAAAGCAACAAAAACTGGACTCCACAACCTTGCCCCACCCTCCCTACGTGGCCTCCTACGACCCGACAGTCCCAGTCATTCCCTCTGCTCAGAAAACACCAGCAGCTCTTCCCAACTCCAGCCGTACTGCCCTACCATTGGTAGGCGAGCTATCTCCCATTCTAACCCCTGCTAGAGTTCCACCCTTCTGTATCCCACCTTGCCCCATCTCTGTCCTCAAACCCACCTTAAGTCCTATCACTTCAACTGTGCTTCGAGGGCAAGGGTGGTGGTGATAGGGTCATGGAGTCTGGTGCGGGAGAGGACACAAGCTGCAGAGTCTTGGATGATCTGCAGCTTGTGGATGGAAGAGTTGGGAAGCAGACAAGCAGGGAGTTGGTGTCGTTGAGCCTAGATATAATAAATGCGTGTATGAGGGTTTCGGCAATCTGAGGGGAGAGGCAGTGGCAGAGTTGGGTGATGTTGCAAAGGTGGGGAAAGGCAGAGTGGGTCATGGCATGGATATGGGGTAGAAAAGACAGCTCAGGGTCAAACAAGATGCCAAGGTTCTGGATTGGCTCAGTATGGTGGAGAGTGCATCCATGAATGTAGTGATGCTACCAGTGCCTGAGGTATGGCTTCAACACTTCAATTTTGTTTTGAATGGTTATTCAGAGATCTTCCAACCGAGCAGTAAGGCTTTGGCTATTACAATGGATATAAATATATAAGATTCTTATGGAGCTTGACAGAGTAGAGAGTGTGAGACTGTTTCCCCTGGTAGTAGAATCTATAACTAGGGGTCACAGTCTTAAGATTAAGGGTCAGCCCTTCCAAACAGAGTTGAAGAAACACTTCTTCACTCAGAGGGTAGTGAATTTATGGAATTCTCTACCCCAGAAAGTTGTAGATTGATAGATTTCTAAAGGATAGAGGGATTAAGGGATATGGGGATAAGGCGGGCAGATGGAGTTAGGTTAGAAGATCAACCATGATTTTATTGAATAGCAGGGCAGGCTCGAGGGGCTGAATGGCCTACTCCTGCTCCTAATTCCTACCCTCCTATAAAACATTGGTTTAATTTCCCTGCGAGAAATGCATAAAATCCAGCTCACAACGTTTAAAAGCAAGAAGACTCAGGTTTCAAATCCAGCCTTGGTCCGGTTGCGTCCACTAAGATCTATTTTGTAAATCCGAGGCTCACAGAGGCTTGTGAAAATGTAGCCTACACTGCACAGAAGTCCTTAGAAGCAGAATTGTTTGGGATGCAGTAATTGAATAGATGGGCTTGGTAATTGAGAAGTTGGGGTATTAAATGGTATAGTGAAAAGTAAAGGTGGGGAAATGGGATTGAAAGATTGTGTCGCGATCTGATAAACTGCCGTAGCAAACTTGATAGGCTGTATGGCCTGTTCCTATGATCCTAAGTTACCAAACGTATTATTTTGATACAACATTTGAGAATTTAAGTTCACTTTGGTCTTGAGATCAGCTGTGTATTTGTGCAATATTTGATGTTACGAAGCTCGATTGTAGTTGTCAATGCTTTGGGTGAAGAGTTCTCCAACATGTCACCAATTTGATTTTAGTGCCCTCCTTTTTTCAGTTATATTTCTTTAGTATTTTCGACCTCAAACTCTTCCTCTTCATACTCTTCCTCGTTCAGGTCGGCCGTGGCATCCTGGTATTGCTGGTACTCCGACACCAGGTCATTGGTGTTGTTCTCGGCCTCGGTGAACTCCATCTCGTCCATGCCCTCGGCCGTGTACCAGTGCAGAAAAGCCTTCCTCCTGAACATTAATGAGAACTGCTCTGAGATGCGTTTGAAGAGCTCCTGGATGGCCGTGTTGTTCCCGATGAAGGTGGAGGACATCTTGAGGCCGCGGGGCGGGATGTCACACACGGCCACCTTGAGGTTATTGGGGATCCACTCCACAAAATTGCTGCTGTTCCTGGTCTGAACGGACAACATCTGCTCGTCCACCTCCTTGGTGGACATTCTCCCCTGAAGATGACGGCCACGGTCAGGTACTGGCCATGGCGTGGGTCGCAAGCCGTCATCATGTTCCTTGGGTCAAACATCTGCTGTGTCAGCTCGGGCACGGTGAGAGTGCAGTACTGCTGGCTGCCGCGGGAGGTCAACGGAGCGAAGCCCGGCATGAAGAAGTGCAGGCGGGGGAAGGGCACCATGTTGACGGCCAGCTTCCTCAGGTCTGCGTTCAGCTGTCCGGGGAAGCGCAGCGAGGTGGTCACGCCACTCATCGTCATGGAGACCAGGTGGTTGAGGTCGCCGTAGGTGGGGGTGGCCAGCTTCAGGGAGCGGAAACAGATGTCGTACAGAGCCTCGTTGTCGATGCAGAAGGTTTCGTCCGTGTTCTCTATCAGCTGGTGAATGGACAAGATGGCGTTGTACGGCTCCACCACGGTGTCGGAGACTTTCGGGGAGGGCATGATGCTGAAGGTGTTCATGATCCTGTCGGGGTATTCCTCCCGGATCTTGTTCATGATGAGAGTGCCCATGCCAGAGCCTGTGCCTCCGCCCAGAGAGTGAGTGAATTGGAAGCCCTGCAAGCAATCGCAATTCTCACACTCATTCCTCAAGACATCCATCACATTCTCCATCAGCTCAGCACCTTCCGTGTAGTGACCTTTGGCCCAGTTGTTTCCAGCACCTGAATTACCTGCAGATAGGAGATGGGGAGAGGAAGGGAAGAGATAGAGAAACAACATGAGACAATTTCTGGTAAATAGAGAGAGTAGTGATGAGACTACAACAAAAATAACTTGCATTTATTAAGCAACCTTCATGCGGGGAAGCGGCTTGGAGCGCTTAACAGTGGTGGCGCCTGATGCCGAGCTGGGGGGATTGAGGAGGTGACTGTAAGCACGGTCGAAGAGGAAGGTCTTCAGACGTGATCTAAAAGAGGGGGCGAGGGGGAGGGATTGAGGGAGAGAGTTGTTCAGGTCAGCATTGCATACCATGGATGAAGTTATCTGGTTTGAAGAGCTGGCCGATGTGACTGCCGCGGATGCTGTCCATTGTTCCAGGTTCTAGGTCCACTAGGATTCCTCTGGGCACATACTTTTTAGCTGAAGGAAATAACTCAAGATTTACACATAGCAGAGCAGACTGCACTCAGCATCATTTGTCCAGTTTGCAGGGATTTCGCTCTCTGGTACCTCCCTACCTCTCTGACCTCCTCACTCCCCAATCCACCACCCAGCGCCTCCGCTTGAATGGCACCAGCCACCGGCTCATCCTTCGTACCCTCTGCTCCACTATTGGAGTTCGCACTTTCAGCCTCTACCCCCTGAAACTCTGGAATGCTCTCCCTCAGTCCCTCCATCTTGTCCCCTCTCTTTCCTTTTTCAAGTCTCATCTGAAAACCTTCCTCTTTGACCGTGCTTACGGCTACCTCCCCCCTCACCCCAGCTCGGAGTCAGGCTCCGCCACTGCTAAGGCTATGAGGTGCTACCCTGTGTGGAGGGTGCTATATAAGTGCAAGTTGTTGTTGTTGAATTCCTTACTCCATCGTGCACCCTTCTATTCCCCTCTGCCTCGTGTGAAGATCTCGCTTCCTCTTGAATGCATCTACACTATTTGATTCAACCACCACTTCGGGCAGCGAGTTCTACTGAATTGCTACCCTCTGTGTGAAGTAGTTCCTCTTAAAATTCTCTGTTTAGACGCCCTAATCACCATTTTATACCTTTGGTTTTCTTTGTAACTTTGCCCATTTAATTTTTAAAACCATATGAAACGGGACGGGACATTTCTTACCATGTGCCTCATTGAAATACACACTGATCCTCTCAAGTTGGAGGTCCGAGTCACCAACATAATTCCCTTTAGGATCAATTCCGTGCTCATCACTAATCACTTCCCAGAACTGTCAAGGATGGAAATAATATAATTATAACAAAGAAACATATTTAGCAAACGCATCGAGACAGAGGGGGAGAATCAGGAAAAGTTAAAGAATTGAAATACAAGCGCCGTGGAATCTTTATCATCCACCTGAACAGGCAGACTGGACCTCGGTTTGACAATTCATCCAAAGTACGGTACCTCTGACAATGAAACACACCCCCGGCACCTCATTGGAGCCTTCTGACGCAGAGGTGGCGCGAGTCACACCACTATTTCAGAGAATCTCTTCCCCCTCCTCCCCATCTGCCCTTATCTAATTTCTCTCTAACACATTGCCACCCTGCCCCTCTCATCAACAACACTGCACCATTATGGGACATTTAAATATTAAAAGCCTTTGTTTGTTTCACATTCTGTGCAGAGAATGAAGTAAAACAGCAGCACGGACATGACTTAAAGTGTGCGTTGTTTCTCTCTCAACTTTGTTTTCAAAGTTGGTTTTCAAAGTTTTGTAAAATAGAAAAAGGCTTCACTTTATAATTTCCGAAAATGCTTTCAAATATTTTCCACATTTTGAATGTGGTATTTTTGCAAAACTCGTGTAAAAGATCAAACTTCTCCAAGGGAGAGCGATAATCATTTGTGCTGAAGGACACAGGATGCACAATTAGAAGAATATTCTGTAGTATGATTTACTCAGTGAAACTGAATGCAATCTTACAGCATATAATATCAATGCAAAGTGCACTACAGTACAGGTATCACCTCCTGTTACCACACAAAATACAATTTCATTTAATATCGAAAATGCAATTATAGGTTTAAAGGTTTTAGCTGCTGATCTTATGAACTTCTGGTCTTAGAACTGAGCCTCTGTCCCCCATCCTTGGACATTTTTTGGTATTTTCATAAACTGCGTTTGGAAAATGAAAAATTTAATTGGTGCAACTGGCTGCTGAGTTTCACCCACAAATACAGACACTCCACTTTACAGTGTATCCTGTGAAGTACTCTGAGACGTAATAAGGCGCTATATCAAATGCAAGGTTTATTGTTATTATTTTTGTATATAAAATAAATTTGTGAATAAAGCCATGGTTACCTTTGATCCTATCTGGTTGCCGCACTGGCCGATCTGGATGTGAACGATCTCACGCATCCTTGCTGTCACTGCCGACTGTCCCTTAAGTTGTCTTTTTAAGTTGTTAAAAGCTTCGTTGAACACTTGCTGCCTCGCCCCACTCCAAAGGCATTTGGTATCAGTCAAACATCAGGTTTACAAGTCCTGGACAGTTCAGGGAAGGGCAGCTCTCGACCGACTGTGTATGGGAACGCCCACTCCACGTACACTTTACTCACTCTCATGAGTTGAAAACCACTTATTTTAGAGCAACTATTCCCTTATAAGGAACATGCAGCTGATGCTTTAGAGACAGAGTGGATTGCTGTGCTATCTGAAGATCCATAATAAATAATAATAATTCTTGCATTTGATACAGTGCCTTATCACGGTGTTGAGAAGTCTTAAAAGCGCTTCACAGAATATACTGTAAAGTGGATTGACTGTGTATTTTGTGGGTGAAATGCACAGCCAATCGTGCTAGCAATATCCCACAAACAGCCATGGAGTGAGTGACCAAATTTTATTATTTGGGGGATTGTTGGCCAGGACACCGGGAGAAAGAAACTCCCTTCTCTTTTCGAATAGAGTCATGGGATCTTTAACATCCACCTGTACAGGACCTTGGTTTAAAGTCTTATCTGAAGAATGACACCTCTGTCAACACAGCACATCCCCAGCACTGCATTGGAGTGTCATTCCAAGTCCCGATATGGGGTTTGAACCCACAACATTCTGACTCAGAGGCGAGAATACTACCACTGAGGCAGGCTGACCCACAGTGTTTATGCTCGACATAAGCCCCCATTTCTCCTATTCACTTCTATTCCCTTCTGATGCATCAAATATATGTACAGTATTAAGTTTCCCTTAAATATTTTGATGCTTTTTGCTTCAACCACGGTTTCTGGCAGCAAGTTCAGCATTCTCATTAGCCTCTGTCTGAGAAGTTCCTCCTAAACTCCCCGTTAGATGTGCTCGTGGCTATCGTATATTCACACCCCTCACTCTGCATGCACCAACAAGTGGAAACAACCTATCAACATCCAACTTATCTTGGTACACAGTGCGGAGGAAACCAATGCTGAGCAAAATAAATTGTCCAGTGTTACTTGCCGGGAATAAAAATAAGAAAAATATTTTGGGAACAGAACAATGAAGCTTCATGCCCTGGGTTTAGGAGAGGCAAATCAGCCAGTTTTGAGTAGTCAGAGACCTCTGCTGGGTAGTGTGTAAGGATAAGATTGAGCTTGACTGTGGTGAACATACACATTTGACCACCTGGTCAAATAATCTGCAGATTCACACATTGCAGACACTTGGATGATGTATTGGAGAGGCCTCACCACTCATGGAGCTCAGTTCCCAAGAGTCAAATTAAGAGAGGGGAGAAATGCTGAAGAACAGCTGAGGAGAGAATTGGAGAAGACAAATTGGGGAAAATATTAAAAAATCATGTAACACTATTGTGTTTGCTTCAAGAATCCATGCCTATTGTTACAAACCCAGGTTGTGACTTATTCTATTATATTCACCAGGTTATAAGTTTATCTAAAATAAAATAATCCTTCCAAAAAATTTGTGGTCACTCAATCCATGACTGTGTGGATTAGTATTATTATTTGTGTCTATGAAGCTCAAAACAGATGGTAAAAGATGGGATTAATTCTCCAGTTCAGGCTGGTGTGCTACTATGTGATGGTTTGTTTCAATATAAACACACAGAAAAAAAGCCAAAGTGAGTTCACTCAGTTGATAAGAGCAGAGATGTATGAGTTGATGCAATGAGAGTCACACCCAGGAAACCACAGTAATACCGAACATGAAACTGGGTTCTGTTGATAACACAGGCATGTCCTTTAAAAATACATGAACAAACCAAACCTGCAAAGCTAAGATACAGACGTCACTTGTCACTCACTCTGATGAGTAGAAGTGCGATTTGGACGTATTTTATTTGTAGTAAATAATCTTTGCATTTGATGTAGCGCCTAACGAGTGTGTCAGCCTGGCTTGGGTTTTAGCATTCTTACCTTTGAATCATAAAGATGTGGGTTCACACCCCCGCATCAGGTCTTCAGACCCATATAGTTTTAGTTTTTTTTTGAAAATATATATTTATTTATAAATATATTTGGTACAACAGAAATCCACAACAAACACAAGGTCTTCCGTTACAATTTTTTTCTCTTTCTCCGAGTACAAAAAAACTTCCGTTGTTTCCTTCACCGCACACAGGTTGGGCACACGTTTAAAACAGTCAGGAGTCGCCCCTTTGTGCATCACATCCATGTGCGCGCCTGCACACACCGTGATAAGGTGCACTTGCCGCTTTCATAAGGTTCCCTGATGTCCATCGCATGTAGTCCAGGGTGACACTCCAACGCAACTCAGATAAGACATTAAACCAAAGTCGTTTGCTTGTTTGTGCTTACGATCACCCCCTCCCCTTCCTCTCGCATCCCTCCCGTGCCCTTCCTCCCCCTCACCCTCCCCATTCTCCCCTTCCCCGTCCTCCCCCCACTCCATCCCCCCCCCCTCCCACCCTCCCTTCCCTCCTCCCCCGTCGCTTCCCTCCTCATCCCCCCCCCCCTTCCCTCCTCGCCCCCTCCCCCTCCCTTCCATCCTCCGCCCACCTCCCTTCCCCCCCGCCCTCTCCCTCTCCCTGGCTCGGGCTCAGACTGTCAAGCCCTCAGGGATGTTGTTTTGAGCAGAGGGTGCTATATAAGTGCAAGTTGTTGTTGGTGCTTCTCAGCTTCGCTCCATCCTCTCCCGCCACTCCCTATCAGCCCCATCCTCGCCCGACTCCACCGGCGCTTCCCATCACACAGAGGATACAGTTCGAGATCCTGGTCCTCGCCTCCAAAGCCCTCCATGGCCTCGCTCCCTCCACCTCTGCGACCGGCTAACCCCCCACCATCCTGCCCGCTCCCTCCGCTCAGGGCTTCATGTCCCCCCGGCCTCACCCGCCCCTCTGGAACTCCATCCCGCAGTCCCTCCGCCTCGCCCCCTCCGCCTCGCCCCCTCCGCCTCGCCCTCCACCTCGCCCCCTCCGCCTCGCCCTCCGCCTCGCCCCTCCGCCTCGCCCTCCGCCTCGCCCCCTCCGCGCCTCCGCCTCGCCCTCCGCCCTCGCCCCCTCCGCCTCGCCCTCCACCTCGCCCCCTCCGCCTCGCCCTCCGCCTCGCCCCTCCGCCTCGCCCCTCCGCCTCGCCCTCCGCCTCGCCCTCCACCTCGCCCCCTGCGCCTCGCCCCCTGCGCCTCGCCCCCTCCGCTCAGCCCCCTCCGCCTCGCCCCCTCCGCCTCGCCCTCCGCCTCGCCCCTCCGCCTCGCCCTCCGCCTCGCCCCCTCCGCCTCGCCCTCCGCCTCGCCCCCTCCGCCTCGCCCTCCGCCTCGCCCCCTCCGCCTCGCCCTCCGCCTCGCCCTCCGCCTCGCCCCTCCGCCTCGCCCTCCACCTCGCCCCCTCGCCTCGCCCCCCTCGCCTCGCCCCCTCCGCCTCGCCCCCTCCGCCTCGCCCTCCGCCTCGCCCCCTCCGCCTCGCCCTCCGCCTCGCCCCCTCCGCCTCGCCCACTCCGCCTCGCCCCCTCCGGTCTCGCCACCTTCAAGACCCATCCCCCTGCCCTCCACCCCCCCCCCACACCCCCCCCCCCAGCTCGGGTCCGAAACTCTGTCTGTGCAGCGCCTCGGGCCGCCCTCCCGACTGTCATCTTGTTGTTGTTGTCGTCGCCGCCGTCGTCGTCGTCGTCGTTGTTGTTGTTGAGACGCCACTGTCTGGTGGCCAGGCGGAGGCGAGCAGCGCGCATGCGCCCTGCGAGCGGTGCACTCTGGGGCTTGTAGTTCCGGGCGGCGGCAGCGGAAGTCGGTGCCGGGGGCGATGGTGCCGGTTCCCATAGCGATGGGGCCCGGGTGCCTTCTGCTCGCCGCCGCCGCCGCCGCCGCCTGCCTGCTGACCGCTCCGGTGCCGGTCGGGGCCCAGGAGCTGGCCAGGTGCGGGCAGCGGGATCGCTTCGAGGAAGAGCTGGTGCTGAAGCCGCTGAGCACCGGGGATGTGGCGGCGGATTTCCAGTTCCGGACCCGCTGGGATGTGGATCTGGAGCAGAGAGAGGCCCAGGCACTGAAAGGTGGGCATCCCCCCCCCCCCCCCCTCCCGCCCCCCCTCCCCCCCCCACCCCCCCCCTCCCCAACAACCCCACCCCCCCCCCCCCCCCCCCACCCCCCACCCCCCCCCCCCCCTCCCCAACCCCCTCCCCAACCCCCCCACCCCACCCCCCCCCCCCCCAAAGCCCCCCCCCCCCCCCCCCAACCCCCCCCCCCCCCACCCCCCCCCCCCCAACCCCACCCCAACCCCCTCCCCAACCCACCCCACCCCACACCTCCCCAAGCCTCCACCTCCCCACCCCACCCTCCCAACCCCCCCCCACCCCCTCCCCAACAACCCCACCCCCCCCCCCCCCAAACCCCCCCTCCCCAACAACCCCACCCCAACCCCTCCCCAACCCCCCCCACCCCCCCCCACAACCCCACCCCCCCCCCCCCAACCCCACCCCAACCCCCTCCCCAACAACCCCACCCCAACCCCCCCCCAACAACCCCACCCCAAACCCCCCTCCCCAACAACCCCACCCCAACCCCCCCCCCAACCCCCTCCCCAACAACCCCCCCAACCCCCCCCCCCCCCACCCCAAACCCCCCCCCCCCACCCCACCCTCCGCAACCCCCTCCCACCCCACCCAACCTCCAACCCCCCCACCCCAAACCCCCTCCCCACCCTCCCCAACCCCCTCCCCTCCCACCCTCCCCAACAACCCCACCCCAAACCCCCTCCACCTCCCCACCCCCCACCCAACCCCCCTCCTCCCCAACCCCCCCCCACCCCAACCTCCAACCCCCTCCCCCTCCCCACCCCAAACCCCCTCCCCACCCTCCCCAACCCCTCTCCCTTCCGCTCCCCTCTCCCCCCCCCCCCCCCTCCCCACCACCCAATGACTCTCCAGTGCAGTGCTGGTGGAGGCCGGGGATGGGGAGGCCGGGGATGGGGGTGGGGGGGGGTGGGGGTTGCATGGTCGGAGGCGCCATCCTGCTGATGAGATGTTGACCGATGGCCGGTCTGCCTGCTCGGGTGGATGTTAAAGATCCCGCGGTGCTATTCGAAACGAGAAGGTAGTCTCTGTCTCCCGGTGTCCTGGCCAGCGTTCCCCCAAATAAGATTGGCCACTCGCTCCATGGCTGTTCGTGGGACGGTGCTGCGTGGGACTGGCTGCCAAGGTTTGTCCACAAAACACACAGTAAATCCCCCTTTACGGTCCATCCTGCGAAGCGCTTTCGACGACGTGGTATATGAACTGCAAGCGTTGCTATTATTAATATTGCACAGGTTGCAGTTCTTGAACTGTCCCACCGGCTCTGCTCTTGTCAGGTACCAGACTGTGTTACTTCATTTTCCACGCGCTCAAAAATGCAGTCACTACAGTTGACAGTAATTAATGTAAAGCACTTTGGAGTATTTTGATGTCACAACAACAACAACATTCCATTTATAGAGCGCCTTTCACGTCGGGAGGACGTCCCAAGGCGCTGTACAGTTGGGTCGGGACCCGAGCATTGGGGGGGAAATGGTCAGGGTGAGGGGAGGGAAGGGAGGGAGCGAGGAGGGGGGAGAGAGTCGAGAGCGGAGCTGAAGGTACGGTCAAAGAGAAAGGTCTTGAGACCGGCCTTGAAGGAGGAAAGGGAGGAGGCGGCGAAGGCACTGGGGATGGAGTTCCAGAGCCTCGGGGCTGAGAGGCTGAAGGCCACCGATGGTAGGGCGGTTGGGGCAGGGGATGTGGAGCTGACCGGAGCCGGAGGAACGGAGGGTACGGGCAGGTAGGTAGGGGGATAGTAGGTCAGAGAGTTAGGAGGGAGCGAGGCCGTGAATGGCCTTGTAGGTGAGGGTGAGGATCTTGAATTCGATCCTCTGGGGGATACATGCAGCAGATGCGGTGTTTGGTGGTGGTGGAGTGACATTGTTGTAACCTGTCATGTTAATATAAATACAGAAGTTGCTGGGAACGCGCAGCAGGCTGAGAGAAGGTGGGAACTGTGGTTCGGAGTGCGATTGTGGCCCTGCCTCCCCCCTTGTATAACCATTAACACATCCTCTGGTTCTTATTCACATCCGTTCGTTCTATAATCACCCTTTTGCCTTTTGTCTTGCACCATCAACATCTCTGATCTTGTCGTCTTCTGTCCTCCATCTAAAAATGTTTCCTTTTTCTTTCCCCCGTCCCCTTCTCTGCTTGAGCGTATTTATAATCTGCTCCCTTCCAACATCCCCCATTCTGACGAAAGGTCATAGACCTGAAATGTTAACTAATTTTCCTCTCTCCATGGATGCTGCCTGACCTGCTGCGTGTTGTCAGCAACGTCCGTGTTTATACCAGATTTCCAGCATCCGCAGTATTTTGCCCTGTGATATTAATGTCCGGTTGGTCTCTGCAGTCTCTCACTACAGGCTGTTCCCCAAGTCACTAGGCCAGGTGATCTCTAAGTATTCGGTTCGTGAGCTGCACCTCTCCTTCACGCAAGGCTTCTGGAGGAGGAGAGGGTGGGGGCAGCCTTTCCAGCAAGCCCCACCAGGCGCTGAACTCTGGGTTTGGTTCCAGAAGTCTGTATCGAAGTGAGTATTAAAGTACATAACCTGGATGAAGCTTGTACACTAAATGGCAGCATTTGATCAGCAAAACTTATAGAATAAGTTCTGATTTTTGCATAGGTTTATATGTATATGATCTTTCAAAAACTTTAATGGTCTTTATAATGTAAGAAGGTTGTCACTTCAATTGTTTTTGGGTACAAGAGCAATATTGATTGCACCTCAATATAGAATCATAGAACTTTACAGCACAAAAGGAGGCCATTCGGCCCATCGTGCCTGTACCGGCTCTTTGAAAGAGCTACCAACTAGTCCCACTCCCCCGCTCTTATCCCATAGCCTTGCAAATTGTTCCCTTTTAAGGACCTATCTTAAAGTACCTATCACAAGCGAGAGACCTGGGTTCGATTCCCAGCAGGACGAAACCTTGGGCAAGTTTTCTTAATATAGAATCATCAGTCGGAGGCAGGTAATGGTGCATTAAAGTGAATAATTTGTTAGTTTGCAGCAATGGTTTTTGAAGTTTTTTATTAAATATATTTGTTCATTGATTACCAAGAGGAGGAAGATTTCACAAATAAAACTAAACTATAAAAGTTACTTAATTTGCATGTCTAACCATGTAGTATGTCATCACATTTAATACAGGGAGCTTCCTTTTTGATTCCAGCATTGACACTACCTGGAAGGAGCTAACCAACGTTCTGTCAGGACTGTTTTGTGCTTCTCTTAATTTTATTGATTCCACAAACACCGTCACTCCCACAGCCTCTTTCAAACCTCTCGGCATCATTAATGGTAAGCAGGAACCCACACAACACCCCGGTATTTATATGCACATTTATTAATATCAGGCAAGAAAGGGACCTGGCTGGAAAAAGCACGCTGTCAGGTTATGTTCTTATCGAAGCACCAAGGGAAGGGATTATAGTAAATCTTTGGTGTACTTGGTCCATTTAAATACTGGAGAGTAAAACATGTAACCACTACATATTGCATATGGAGAACCCAGTGTAATTAAGATTTTAGTTAACAGATGATTTCTCATACTCATTTGAATGCGAAAATCCACAGGGCATGATTGTATCTGCATTCCCTAATTATGTACCTATAATGATTATATGCAACTCTTCTATTTATCATTGTATATCTGAACATGTCTGCTTGCTAGAGATGCAACTCTATCGTAGAAAAAACTATGTATTAATGGGCGTCTTACACTATCTATTCAACAGTGTAGGAGATACAAAATGCTTGGTTATTTTGTACCATCTTATGCTATCTGGTCACCCGGATGATTTGATTTTCAGCGCTCCGAGATGCTGCCCCCCGTGAAGGGTGCTATATAAATGTAAGTTGTTGTTGACTGTTTACACGTCCATTTGTTGATGTGTATCTAATCCTGCCCGTGTGTCTGACTGCAGCTACAGACCATAAATACCTGAGGTACTCAATCCTCCCGAGAGAGGTGGTCTGCACTGAAAACCTTACCCCCTGGAAGAAGCTCCTACCTTGCGGTTCAAAGGTAAAACTTACCAGAGGAAAGTAAAATGAAAGGGAATGTTAATAAATTAACAACTGTTGTCTTTCCTGTCAGGACTGCTCCCTTGTGGTGACTATGTTTTGTGTTCAGGCAGGGCTGGCAGTGCTGCTGAAGGCTGAGCGATTGTTTCACACCAGTTACCATTCACAAGCTGTCCACGTGCGGCCTGTTTGCAGGGTGAGTGCTAAATGCAGGGATCCGTAACCAACCAAAGAACAGAGATCGCAAGTCTGAAGAATCTACTCATTGTAGGGACACTAAGCCAACGTTCTTCCATTGTTCCAGGTGCTCGTTGATGGGCCGTTGTTTATCTTCACAGGGAACTGTTGGAAAGCAACATCCATTATTACAGTGAAAGGCATTATTACATTATTATTACAGAGGCAGTGACCTTGGGTGGTCAGATGGTTATAAAAAAGGCATTGGTGGAAGTTAGGGAGTGATGTTTTTGGGTGAAAAAACATTGCAAACTAGAAAACAAAGATACAAAGCATTTTTCTTTCCCACTTCTGATTGCTATCCTGTGACCCATTAGAAGATACATGTTTGTGGATATTGGGTGAAGAGGATATTGGGCTCATCTGTGACGCTCTCTTCAGTCAAGTAACCAACTAACCTCACCAGCGAAGCTCAGATATTAGTGATGGCCACTTATGACTAAGTGGATAAATACACTGCCTGGTACATATACTGCCTTGTACATACCGATCAAAAAGGTGCTCACTATATCTGCTCTGTATTCAGCACTGTAGGACGACCTCCCGACATGAAAGGTGCTATATAAATTCAATTTGTTGATGTTGAATCTGCTCAATTACCTGATTTCAGTTGCGATAGTTGGGCCTCGCAGGGAATAACATTTCCCAGGCCTAGTGTCTGGGTACTGCCATGGGAGAGAGCAGGAACAGATGATGTTTGATGCTGCCATAAACATTTCTTAACTTCCACCAATGTCTCACAAGTGAAGAATGACGATGGTAGAGATACAGTTATATTGAATTAATCACTTTTTTTGCTGTTTATCCAGGATGACCTGTGCTCCAGTACCTCTTTGGAGCTGACACAGAGTCTCTCTGTGGTCTTCGATCTGTACGCCAGTGGCTTTGCAAAGAAAGGTAAATAAAATTCAGTGGAAATAAGGCACTACATATAGGCGACTGCTTGGTAGGTTTACTATGTTGCCTTTTTACTAGATTTTAACTGATACAGTGAATCTACCAATGAGGTCACATTGTATTTTACATTAATCAATAGTACTAACCAAAACTTGCCAGGAAAATAACTGGGGGATAAAGTCAATAATGTGGATGACTACAATGATCTGGCACATTTCTCTAGTGAGTCACTGAACTGTGCCGGTGTTCATTGCCTGCTGGGTTAATTGATCTCAGCTAGGATGGCAATAGGGACACAACAATAAACTCAGCTTTCATCCCTGACTGCTATCCCCTCTCTCTCCACCCGTTATTAAATAGCCAAATTCACTTTTGGAAAAGGCATTAAACTTGATAATTCAACTTGATAACACTACTAATCTAGTGTTGCGGCCCCTCTTTTTTGGTCAGCCTGACACACATGCGGAAACCCGTCACCTTGCTTAAGGATATCCAAGCCAAACTGAGAATTCCATGCGTTCCACCTACAGATAGAAATTCCAGCGATAGATTGTTGGAATGGAATGCGCACTCTCTCTCTCCATGGAGGGACACATCCTGGTTACCTATTTCTGGAAAGTATTAGGTGCAGGTTGGCAAGAGTCAAGGCTTGGGGACGCAAGAGTGTGCGTTGGGGTACTGCTGGAGTTCAACCAGCTAAAATGTTAAATTGCAGGCCACTTCTGGGAACATAATAGAATAATGAGTTGAGCCACGGAACAGGATTTGGTAGTTCAGCATTGTATCTGCCCTAATAGCTGTGTGGTGGAATGTTTTACAGAATGGTCATTGTTTAAGATGTTTTCACGCACACTGACGGAGGTGTGCCCCCTGGCTTCTCAAAGTACAATTTATGTGGACCTCACTGACGCAGATAAGGTACTGAACAAATTTTAATGCATAGATTTACGTACACAGCGCAGAACTAGGCCGTTCAGCCCAACTAGTCTGTGCCAGTGTTTATACTCCATATGAGTCCCCACCCACTTACTCCCTCTTGTTCCCTCCTGTAACCTCCTCGCTCTCTCCTGTGTGAAATCTTATATAAAAATGCATTTCACCAACTCCCTCACTTTCCTGATACGAGAAAAAAATAGAGCAGAATCGTCATTTCACTTCTTCACCAATTGATCAGGTGATTCCATAATTATTGAGTATTTGCAAAGTTATGGATCTGCAAATTTGGTAATCGTTTGCCTGCTAATTACATGATAACAACCAAAACTATATTTCATTAAAAAATTTTTAGCTGACTTTCACACAAGTAAATGTTGGAAAATTTGCACACAATGCACTCTGTGTGTGTGAACCACTGCTTCTCACCTCAGGTAGAGCTCCTTTTACTTTCTAAGCAGTTTAGTTGAAGTACCGTAGCGTAGTGGTTAGCGCAATTGGCTGCTGCATTTCACCCACAAAATATACAGTCACTCCACTTTATAGTATATACTTTATAGTATATCCTGTGAAGCGCTTTGAGACGTCTCATCGATGTGATAACGTGCTATATCAAATGCAAGGATTATTATTGTAAGTAAAGCAAACTATAAAGGATTGCCTCTGTTGTGCTTTCAGGAGAATGAGATGTATGAGCTGACCCCAACGCCACTGTCTCAAATTAGGACAACACTTCATGGCCAGTGGAGATCCTACGCAGTGTACGACCTGCTGAACCCGCAGCTGTACAGCACACCGTCCCAATCCCTAAACATAGCCCTGAAAGGGAAACCAGCTAAGCAGTACAGTAAGTGTGAGAACCTGGGGCACAAGAGCGTGGTGCGGAGTCTGTGAAATGAATAGCTGGGAGCGAGCAGTAAGGGCTGTGCTCTATTTGAGAAGTCGCGATGGCCATGGAAACCAGCAAAGTGTTTAAATCAGCTCGAGTGATTAAAGAGCAATTTCGATTAAAGAGTGGATTTCCTGGTCAGCAATCACCCAGATGAAATTGGTCATTTGCTTCATGGCTCTTTGTGGGACATTGTTGTGTGCAAATTAGTAGGCTGACTTCACTCTACAAAATATAATTATTACATATACAGTATATTTTATGAAGCGCTTTGAGATGTCCTCCTGACGTAAAGGTGTTGTATCGGATAGGAGGATTATTATTTTAGAAGAGGTAAGATTTAAGAGAAGTTAGGTGACTCCTGTTATTTTATTAGTGTCACATAATAAATAGAAATCGGGTCAAAGTTTAGGTATTCCTAAACACATTCCATTGTTTATTTGCGGAACATTGTTAAAGTGCGTTTTAACTAAAGCCTGGTGTTGGCATTTGGAATCATTTTTGACAACTGAAAATTGCCTCTCCGAGCTTGTTTAGAGGGTACTAACCTGATGCCGTCTGACGTAGACAGTATTTTGTCAGTAAGCCTCGAAGCAATTTTACTCACGTGCATATGGCAATGGAAGCCTAGTTGAAGTTTCCCTAAATGGGTTTCTTTGATGTGGGATAGGTGTGTTAGCCTTCGTAAGTTTTATACTATTCCAAGTATTTTAAATGTCTCGTGAACTATTGTGTAGTGCTGTAATACTAATTGCTTCTGGTCTGTGTGTGCAGGGGAGCCTGTTGTGCCTGCTCTCCACGCTGAGCGATACGTTAGCGGGTACGGCCTTGAGAAAGGCAGAGTCAACACTTTGATCTACAATAACCATCCTTACCGAGGCTTCCCCATTCTGTTGATGGAAACTGTGCCCTGGTACCTCCGCCTGTACATTCACACGCTCAGCATCACCACCCGGGGCAAGGAGAACAAACCAAGTAAGGTCCATCTCTCTCGCACCGGTTACTTTATCTACTCTGCTCCTGGAGCTACTTTTGTTCTTGGGTAATTCATGGGACGAATGGAGAATCTCCCCTTCCCATGAGAGCAAAGGTTATTCTGAAAAATAGAAGCGCTGGTTGTCAGAAGAGTGGTTTCACCGGTGTGCATGTGTGAACCCTGACAGTTAGAGCAGGCAGAGATTTTATCCTCAGGGGCATCACAGTCAAGTCTGATCCTCTCCTCATCTGGAACCCAAATACTGTCACCTTGCTGCGGGTAGCGGTGGGTGAGGGGCACTGGCTGTTTTTTCCCTTCTCAAATCCAGGAGCGTTGAAGGCAGTCATTCCCACTAGTGTTCCCTCAGCTGAGATAAGCACAGACAAGCACTGCACCTGAGATGCTTGGTTCAATTGTGCTCTTGGTGGCAGATTGGCCAACTGTGATCTGTCATGAGACCACAAAGGATGAATGAAAATGTGATTAAAACAGCAGGAAACCGTCTTTGAAGAGAGCCTTTGGATGGCTCACGATTTACTCTTTTAATAACTGGAAAAGGTAACGTATGATGTTTACCGCTGGTGGTGCTGTTGAGCTGAGAGTAGTTTGTACTAGGGGCCAGTAGTGGCACTGCAACAACTATCTGAAAACCACTACTACGTTCCATTTTACAACAGCATTCGTGACTGACAAATAAGACCATGTCATTGTGGTCTGACTGTGAACTAACTATTTGTTCTTTGGATTCACGGTAACAGGTTTTATCCATTACCAGCCAGCCAAAGACCGGGAGCGCTCCCACCTGCTGGAGATGCTGATTCAACTGCCAGCCAACTCTGTCACGAAGATCAGCATTGAGTTTGAGAGAGCGCTATTGAAATGGACAGAGTACCCCCCTGATGCCAATCACGGCTTCTACGTGGGGTAAGTTCTCTCATGCTGACCTGGGTTCGATTGCCAGCCACAATTTCAGGTGGAACAAATGACAGAGGGAGAAATGTATGAAATTACAAGAGACCAACTGAAGCATCTTATACTAATAAAACGACAATGTCTGTGTGTGTGTGTGTATCAACCAAGATCTCAACAACCCATTGACATAGATACATGAATTATACCTCATTGGAAGGGTCTTGTGACTGGGAGTGACGTGGGTTTATTTGTTTTTGGAGATCTCCTATCGTTGATGAACTTTGACCATCACGCATGTACGGCAGTTTTGCATTTGGCACTGCAGTCACACCTGATGACGCGACGACTCTCAGTGGCGCTGTGGCATCGTGCGTCACGGAGCACGTATGCACTCAGATGAAGCCTAGGGGGGTGGTGAGGTGAAAGTTGCCTCGAGCGGAGTTGACGGCAGTCACCAATGCATCTTCCTTTCCTTTACAGCTCCTCAGTACTGAGTGCACTGGTCCCCAGCAGTGTAACCATGCAAGCGAATGGCACCAAAAGCAGACCTAACTTCACCAAACTGTTAGTATAAGTGTTTATTCGTATAACTAATGCTTTGACTTTGCTATTACAGAGTGAGCCTCACTGTCGCATTTCCTTTTAATAATCAAACTGAAAACATAAAAGGATGTTAGGTCCTAATACCTATCGGAGTTACTGAGCTCAACAGCGCAAATTGACATCAATCGCGGGTTATTAAGCTGGGAATGTTTCCATTTCAGTTTGGCAAATCAGTACAGCTCCTTCACACTGCCAGGCCTCTAACTCCTCCAACCTAGCTTCTCTTAATGTTACCACCAGCCATCATTATTAAACATATAGTCCTTGCTCCCGTGATAGCCTAGTGGGCGAAAGGACCCCTGGGCAACACTATGCCATTCAGACCAGAGATCAGAAGTTTCATTTCTCATCAGTACTGAGTTAGCTGATCTTAGCCAACTCATTCATTGGTCTACTTCAATTGGCCTTGGTGTCACTGGACTAGCAAGGGAAAATCAGCCAGGCTCCCACCTCCAGGCCTAATTCATATTGGAACAAACTGTCTGAAAGCACTTCACAGAATATACTATAAAGGCTGTATTTTGTGGGCGAAACGCAGTATCTTTGGTATGATGAAGTGTACAAATACCAGGGACACAAGTTAAATTAGAAAGTTAATTCAAAGAGAAGCAGGTCAGGGCCAGTGGGGTTTATGGTCAATCAAAGGGGGTCTATAGTTTGGGATTTTGATGTTCCTGTACTTATTATGCAGAGACCATATTGCAATACAGTCTGGTTTATCAGCTAACCTGTATTTTATTCTCCAGGTTCCCCTCCAGTGACTCCTCCAGTTACTTTGTCAGAATCTACACCGAGGCGCTGCTGGTGAATTTGCCGACACCTGATTTCAGTATGCCATACAATGTCATCTGCCTGACCTGCACTGTGGTGGCTGTTGGCTATGGCTCCCTCTACAATCTTCTCACCAGGACTTTCCAGATCGCTGAGCCTTCTGACGGGCTGGCAAAGAAGATCGCCAACGTAATCCGAAGAATGCGTGGAGTCCCAGTGCTCTGAGCCAGTCACACACAGTCATCACAGTCAGTGAGGCAACCGTTTATCACAACAGTTCATGTTACGAGTTGGGTGAACCCCAACTTCACCTGGTATAATGATTTCCTTGGGGTGGAATTAAGAACCCAACACCCCCCAGTCAAATGAATGAGAAGATGATATCTGGAAATACTTGACTCTTACAGTTCTACTGTATTGCCCAGGGCAAATGGACCTGCTTGCTCTGAAGTGTGGATGATGCCACTTTGCCCACAAAATACAGTCACTCCACTTTACAATACATTCTGTGAAGTGCTTTGATGTCTCAACGATGTGATGAGGTGCTATATCAAATACTAGGATGATGATTATTATTGTAATACCCACTGGAGAATATTGGTGTTGGTGGAAAGGCAGTGCAGTACAAAGCATTTGTATGGCCAAGTAAGAAGAAAACATTGTACAGTGACTGAATTGGTTCTCTGTGGTGTAACCTTAATGGGGTATATAATTACTAGGGGCCTGGCAGCTCACAGAGCTTTGTATTTTGAGCCCTGCTCTCAGGGCACTCTGGTAGTCTGAAAGACCATCAGGGAAGCACTGGCTTTAGCTGTCTATTTGTTTTTTCAGAAATGATCTTGTAACACAGAACCGTATTTGCATTGGTGACTGCCCAGCAGATTTTAAGAACTAAAACAAGGGAATAAGGAATGCAGCATGAGTAAGATGTTTTTGATGATTAATTTCCTGATAAAGGTTGGACCGAACTGAATGGTGTTATGTCTTCCATGCACTCAAACTGCCATCATTTATGTTGTAGTGATCACATTTCACAACAAGTGAAATAAATATAAGTTCAGTTGAAGAGAAATGCAGCCATAAAACCTAGAAATTGGGAGGGTAGGGACCGGTGTAAAGAAAATGACAGGCAGTATAACAGCATAAAATAAGCTGCAGGAAAGTCAAGAGATGACAAGATCATACTGAAAGATATAAATCAAGTCCATACTTCAACATGTTTTCAAACACTTGAGTATTTTACATAAGCAGAATAATAAATAGGATAAAATTCCCCCTTCCCTTTTAAAGCAGAATTAGATCCTTTCTAGTGAAGGAAAGCTTCGTGGAGCTGTGTACACAACAGGTGAACTTGGGATACAAATTTAGTGACTATACAGTGAGTTGTTAAAACACAATATCCATTACTACAATTACAACAAATTCCACCTGACAACTGTGCGGGACAAGTGTTTACCGGTGTCCAAATACATTTGTAAAATATAAAGATAAGTGACATTTTACAATGTCTGTTCAGAAATACAAGCCATATCAATAAAAGGACTAATTTACTTTGAAGGAAAGCAGTCTCTCCATTTGGATCAAACTATGACAAACTACAGGACATTACAAACTAGTTAATACTTCATCTTGATCCCATCAGAGAATACTTTATAGAGAGGACAGCAAGCCACAAATCTACCTTTTCAAGTCTACAGCTTTTCTTGATCAGGCAATTCAATGCTACACAAATTTCACTGCACAATTTAAGATAAATTGAAGACTCAGGAAAGGTAGTGACAATATCGTCATTTTCTTCAATCCAAAAATCAAAGTTAGATTCTTTGAGAGAAAAACAAAAGTACCAGAATAAAACTTCCAAATCTAGATTCAATCAAAACACAGTGAGTCGCTTCAGCAAAGGACTGTCCATCCATTTTTATGGTGTCGAGTTGTAGAATCTTTCCTTTGACCATTCATAACGTGATAGGATCACTGTAGGAACCATCTGGGTTTTCGTGGGAGTTAAACGTTTCATTTTGCAGCACCCGTCATGAGAATCTTTTGTGGAATTGTAAATTTCTTTCATCCACACTTGCTTACATTTCAAGTTGTAACTTAGAGCTAGCAAGGAGTTGCATCAAATATAAATAAGCACCATCATGGACCACTGCTCAATTCAAGTCTTGAAGCAAAAATCTTATTGAATAATGTTCCTGGAATAGATTATGTATCCAAAGGGTTGTGCTTCCACTTTACTCTGGATAAAATCTCACTGGTCCAATATCATCAAAATTTAAAAATAAATAGTCTTGACCAATGCACACACTTACACACAGACCACAGCTTTCATGGCCTCAAGTGTCAGGAGTGGATGGATTCAGTCATGGATTTTGGTACTCAAACAATTCCTCATACACATCCGTCCAGGTCATCTTCATTAAAGGAAACAATCAGTTAGACAGCAACAGGCACCAGTAGTACTCTAGGAATACAAGAAAGAAATAGGAACACAATTTTCAACAACAAATTGCACTTGTATGGCACTCTTCATGTCGGAAAGACATCCCAGGGCGCTGGGCAATTGGGTTTATGGAGCATCCTATAGGCTATTCCACACTTCACACACTTTCAAGTTACTGTTTGTTATTTTCATTCCAAAATGAGCCTGAACTTCAGGTCAGACCCAAGTTTAATGTGTACCATTGATTCAGACTCAATTTCCAGCCCCGTCACTTCCCGGAGGCTTTCACCAAGCATCACTTCACTCAGAGCTTCAGCTTTTAAAAAAGATATTCCTTTTAAGATACTCATAATTTCAGTCTTTCCCAGTCTTCAATCTCCAACCATCTCACATTGCTTTAATATCTTCTCCTGCACTATAATCCTGGAGAAAGTCCATCTCCTACACTTACCTCACACACGAGTTGCTCCACGTGACTTGGCCGAGGGTTTGTATGTGCAGCTCAACAACTGTTAACCCGAAGACGCTTTCCAACTGCACCTTCTAGTTCTTTGTCCTCACCCTGACCTTTCCACCTAGAGGAGGACACCGTCATCTTATAATCATCCCACTGATAGAAAAGTAAATAACCATATACCCTCATGCAGGGTAGCATCCTACCCTCTGGCATGCTACCGTTGCGAGGGGCACTATATAAATGCAAGTTATTGTTAAAATTAATGAGGTTATACTGTACAGAAAGAGAGTTCCACCCTGATGCTCGTTTCCCTGGAGTGTCACCACTCTAATCTCTCTCCTGATTACCTTTATTCCCCCACCCAACCACCAATTCCATTTGAATGCTGTTACAGCCGTGGTTTAGGTAATTTGTGGGAAGGCATTCCACCTTATAAAACCCTCTGAGCAAAGGTTCTTGTAGCCTCTATAATCACAAGATTGGGTTGGATGAAGAAGGCCCATTTAGCCACATCCTTCCAGAATTCCCTCTGCCCCCCCAACCCTCTTCCCGTCAGATCAAGATATTTTTTCTAAATGAGTCCAGTATCCAGGGTGCGATCAAATGGGCTGAAGGGCCTTTTTCATCTGAATCTCTCATGATCCTCAGAGATCTGATGAAAAGTGATCGATTGGGGTGAGGTTGTATCACTGTGAATTGTTTTTCTTTGTCAGTCAGGTATCTGACACATGTGGAAACCCATCACCGTGCTTAAGAGTATCCAAACTGAGAATTCCATGCATCCCACCTACACATGGAAATTCCAGAGATAGAATGGAGTTCTAGTCAGCTAAAACCTGTGAGGTGGAAAGACAGCCAACCAACTAGAATTAGCATGCGTAATGCGTTTTTGATTTCATTTGAGGGATTCATCTGCGATGTGAAACCAATACATCACACAGCCAATATCTTAGTTACTGATGTAACTTAATTAGTAACTCTACTGAACTTAGGAACATAAGAATTTGCTGGCTAAAGAGGACCAATGTCCATCTAGTTTGCCTTCCACCATCCTGGCAGTCGTTTGACTTGTCATATCCCAAGCTATATAACGTATTCGGAGAGATTATTTTCTAGCAGAAATCTATCTAATTTGTTCTTGAAACAAATTAAATTTTCTGCTTCCACGGTCTCCCTAGGGAGCCTGTTCCATAAGTTTACTACTTGCTGGGAATCCTATTGTGACAGAATTTCTGGGATATCCGTGTGAATTGCCCTCTTACCTGGAGGAGTCCCAGTGCAGTGCCTTTCTCCAGCTGTATCTGCAGGCTTCCGCCCTTATACTGGTCTCCACCTTCCTCACAGTCAATGGTTGAAAGAAGTTGATTGGGAGATGCATACATTGAAGCGGAGCTATGTCTGCAATGAGATGGAGGAATTGCACAATTGAAACAGTTATCTCCGATGGGAGTTTGATCACCTGGTTTTAACGCCATGGGTTTGAGGAGGCTAAGCCCAAAGTCTTCAAGCCGATGGCTACAAGTTCGATTTTTGACTGGGAAAAGTTTAGATTTCAGTCCTCCTGAAGCCTGAGGAAGTGAGAATGAGACCTAAAACAGAGCCCAATGGAGGATTTAAAATTTTTAACAACTTCCCCTACTTTAGGGTCCTATTAAAGGGATGGACGGACGTGTGCACACACATGCACTCAATAGATCATATATATTGTATATCCTATTGGATGTATATGACATTTCTGGCACCCTGAAAGGAACAAACTATTTCCCTGCAAAAGGGTGCCACCTGCTGCCATTTCTTAAAGCACACCTTGAATAATTGAACCTAATGGAATACCATGTTTTAAAACTCTGAAGATGTTCAAAGCTTCATTTTGGTGGAATGAATGATTCTCTGCATGCATCATTCTCTGCAATGATCTTTTCTGGATCGAACAGGAACCTAGGATCTTTAGAGAGTGTTCCAAGAGGCTCATCTAGATGAGGATAGCTGTGAATTCCAGCTATACTTTAAATCTTTCCCTTCAAAATACTACCCCCTCATCCCCAAAAGTACCCCCCCGCCCTCAACTCCCAGACAGGAATCACCAACACATAAACCAAGGCTTTATTTCAATATTCTTACCTTCATAGAGTACTCTAAACACATTGACCTGTTGACAATAAATGTCATTGGTTAATATTGGCCATAAACTGTGAAGCAGGTTTACAAGAACAAAACTAGTCGTGTTCAGATGGCCACCACCTTTACTGAGGTCAACCTCCATAAAATGTCTGTGTTCATTAGCAATAAGTTTACATGTTGCACTATTTGGTTATTGCATCCAATAGACCCCACCCCAAACAGCATTTCAGTTCTGTAGACCAGTCTTGCACTTACTAGATGAACACCACCAAAACAGAAAGGCAAATCTCACCTTTTTACAGAGGTGGCAGGGGAGAGCCCAGGTGAAGAAAAGCTCCCTTTGGCAACAGAAACAGAACTGAAGAGACAGAGACAGAATTGCCATTAGATTAGGCAGTCAATCAGGAAGTAATAATAATCCTTGCATTTGATATCGGGCCTCATCACATCTTCGAGACGTCTCAAGTGCTTCACAGAATATATAAGTCAAAGCACAAACTAGCATCTTTAGGCAGTGCGACAGACACCATGGAAATGTGGAGTCGCTGTGCCAATTTACAATCAACCAAAGTATTGTAGCAGTTTATTTAGTGAACTCTTTTTCCCTCTTCCCAAATGTTGGCTGCAGTTCTTGCAGGCAGTGACTAGGGAACAGTTTTACAAGTGTCATAAGCACACATTCTCCCACAGTCACTCCACTTTACAGTGTATATCCCATGGAATGCTTTGAGACATAGTCCTGTTGTGAAAACACTCCTGTTCAAATGTAACGATAATACTTGCATTTGATATCATTTCACTGAGACGTCTCAAAGTGCTTCACAGGATTTATTGTAAAGTGGATTGACTGTATATTTTGTGGGCGAACGGCGGCAGACAGTTGTGCACAGCAATGTTTCCCAAACAGCCATGAAGTGAGTGACCAATTTTATTTGGGGTATTGTTGGCCAGGACACTGGGAAGAAGAAAGTCCCTTCTCAAATAGTACCATGGGATCTTTAACGTTCACCTGAACAGACAGAATACACCTCAGTTTAACATATCATCTGAAGGACAGAACCTCCAACAACTGTCGTGATAAGATGCTGTATCAAATGCAAGCATTATTATTTTTATGATTATTTGTTATTGTTTCTATTATTACTATTATTAAAAGCTAATTCTCTCCTTACTAAAGAACTCACACAGATGAGCACGGAATAATGATCAGAAGCAAGAATCCTCACCAATTATCAGATTTTCTGAGAACTTTACGAACAACAACTTTCATTTATATAGTACCCTTTACGTGGGATTGAGTCCTGGAGCTAAACCATTCCTAACCTTGTCCTTCACAGTTTTGCAGGTTATCATTTTTCGCTTTGCCAACGTCTGACAGACACACACCAGCTCTTGGACCAGAAGTGTTGAAGAATAATGAAAATCCTCCTGAATAAAAGACAATAAAATACCCAGCCACTGAGCAAGGTAAACAACCACAGCAATCAACCACATTCCAGGGTAAGAGGATTGTTACCACTTCGAGATTCCATGTACTCTTAACGTGTGAGGCCATTTGGTCTTAAAGTCAGGCAGAACTGTGGACTGACACAAATAAATAAACTTACATTTTCTACAAGTTCATAGAAGCTGCCAAAAGGCCTCATTATCTGTAGAGGATAATGTGGTTTGCATTGGTTGACTGAATGCCATACGAGCTCCTTCACATTCACGTAAGTTGACACCGCCGAGCAAAAGTGTTCTTTCGAAACATCTAGGAGGAGAAATAGAGGCACCTTCAATAAAACAAACAGAAACAGGTGAATAGAGGGAGAAATCTTGTGGGGAACTGGATTGGGAGATGAGATGGGCAGATGGTCTATCCTGCTTGAATTGTCATGTCATTGGGATTACTAAGTTCCCTCGAACACAACACATCTGCAGATTGGCAGTTACAGCTAGAGTTCACTTTCAGGTTATATTTTGCATGATACCCTCACCTCTCCCTCCAATATCAGCCACAAAATAGCCATTTTATCGATGGATTTGGTAGTGAGCGAGTCTCACAGTTACAAGCCGTTTTTTGGGTACACTTGTGGTTTTCAGATACCAGTTTCAACACTGTCAAGTTTGCAGCTTTCTGAATTATTTATGATTTTTCTAATTCCAATTGCAACATTTCAAACTCAACCTTTGGCCAAAAAAAATCAGCATTGGCAGAGGCTTGACTTTGAAAGGACGGACAGGGGTGAAATTTGTGAGAACTTAACTGAGCTCCGTTCTTCGGATGAGACGGTAAACCGAGGTCCCTTCTGTCTGTTCAGGTGGACGTCAAAGATCCCGTGGCACTATTCGAAAAGAGAAGCGAGTTTCTCTCTCCCAGTGTCATGGCCGAAAATTCCCCAAAATAAAATTGGTCACTTGCTCCACAGCTGTTTGTGGGACATTGCACTGTACAAACGGCTGCCACGTACAAATACAGTCACGGTACTTTACAGTATATCTTGTGAAGCACTTTGAGGCGTCTCGACGACATGATAAGGTGCTATTATCAAATGCAAGGATTATTATTAAAACCTCCAGAAGTCTTTGTACCTGTGCTGCTGTCCGGCCCAAAAAACACCCTTCTCTCTCCCGTCTCCCAGCTTTGCTCAGAGTCACTGGGATCCGCCTGGAAACAAACCAATCAGCAAATAAACAACCGTAAATCTAACATTAGTACCTACAACAGTGAAATATTCTCTTTTCCAGATTTTTTCCTCAGTCTCTATACAGTCTTACTCAGCCTGTAACTCAAACTTTCTGCGATCTGAAAGTTGTTGTATGTACAGGTGCAAGTTGTTGCTGCTGTACCTGAAGTTGTGAGTCCGTTCTCGGCCTTTTCACAGATGTTGAAGACTGGACACATTGGCTGTCTGTCGAGGTCTCACACAGCTGTCTTTTCCTGACCGAAAGCTCCCCTGATAAACCGTCGAGAGAGGAATGAATAGCCTGTAACCAGCTGGGATTCTGTTCAGATTAACATAGATCCTATCCCAAAGGAACAGACAATCTCAGGACGGAGACAGGAGTTTAACAGTGAAATCAGTGGCTGTGTGTAGTTTAATTGTGCCTTGTTTAATCCCTCCCCAGGGATGGGCTGGATTTCAGAAAGAAGTTTCTCCCAGTGTCCTAGGACTTTGCTGTGTGTAAATTGACTGCCACGTTTTCTTACAAGTGCACACTTGACAAAGATTACATGTTGAACCACCTTGAGAGGTTTCATCATTAGAGGCTCTGTATCAAATGTAAGAACACTGATTAATATTTTTAGATAGTTTTATTGCATAGATTTACAAAGTGTAGCAACAGGAAAACAGGCCCTTCATCCCAATCAACCATGCGGTGTTTATAGTCCGCATGAACCTCCTAATCCCATCAAACCCATTAATGTTCGATTCCCTTCTCCATGTTTGCTTCTTTTATTGTATTTAAAATTAATTATAATAATCCTTGCATTTGATATAGCGCCTTGTCACGTCATTAAGACATTGGCACAAACAGTCGTGGATTGAGTGACCACTTTTTTTGAGGGATTATTATGGAAAGCGATCAGACAATCAACTAACAACCAAGTTCCTACTTTCTTTTGGTAAACAGAGGCATGTAGAGTAAGGAAACTTGACTAAAGTTCACGCTGCCTGGGAATTGAACCCAGGTGTGTTCTCATCTCTGAGGTGAGTGCTCTATCCACCACCTCACGGGACTTCATATAAGTATTATTATAGGGAGTTGGGAAGAAGCCAAAAGGCACCTCAGAAATAAAGCTTCAGTGAAACTCACTTGCAGATGAGTCCTCTCCCGGGGAGACCGAACGCAGTGTTCTCGCCGTTTGGATTTCCTTCATCAGCATCTCGTGGAGACAAGGGGTGGGCGGTGGCTGGGCTTTCAGTTTCCTTGTGGATGCCTGGAGATTTTGTGTAAAGCAAAAAAATTAAGGCAATCTCTCTCTCTCTCAATTTGGAGCATGTTTAGCGTATAGCAGGCAGTCAGTGAACAAATCGATTTAACAACTACAATTTAACCAGCAAGTATTGAACCAGCCCGTCCGCTCCCTCCATTCAGCAGGTACTGTCTGCTCCATGTCCTCGGTCTTGCAGGCTCCAACATCGGAGGTCGGGCCTTCAGCCCTTCTGCCCCCACCCCCTGGAACTCCATCCCTGAATCCCTCTGCCCCCTCCAAGGCCCATCTCAAGTATCACAACGTTTTTGATCGACAAAAGCTCTGTGGTTTCTATAGAAATTTCAATACACAGTGAAGCTTTTGAAGAAGGTCCAAGCCCAGCAAGCCTCGTTGGGTTTGTAACGGACACATTTTGACCAAAAAAGTATGCGCAGTGGCCGATTAAAAAAAGGTTAAAATCTGAGATGCGAGAGTGTCACCTCTAAATGAGATTATACAGACATGTATGACATATAAACACACATGTGCGTGTGTGCGCACCCATATAATATACAGGGGAATGCAACTTGCATGCAACACTGCACTCAGAGGATCTCTTGAAGTGACAACTCAGGAGTCAGATGTATGGTGTGGTCTCCTGGCCCACGAGGACCTGGGTACCAGGTGAGCAGCAACTTTCTCCAAGAACTTACCGGCTTCAACAAGGACCTTAAGTGTGCAAAGTCCAGCTGGTCAAGTGGGCTCTTTGGTTTCTTGTCAGTGACCTGGAACAAGCACAACAACAAATTGCGTTTACACAGTGCCTTTCACGTCAGGAGGACCGACCGCTCAGCCCCCACATGTAGAATATTTTCACCACCTCCTGCACTGCTGAGCCAAATCTTACACGCAAGCCTCATGAATAACTCACCGGAACCTTCCGCAGGGTATATCTCCTGTGTCTGAGGTCATCCAGCATGTTCTTGATTGGTGAGAGCTCGGTCTTCATTGGAAGAGGATTGTAGTGATGTTTATGTTCTTTCTTTAACTTCACACCGTGTTTCACCTCAGCCATCAGCTGCATCCACATTGGACTCTGGAGAGGAAGATAAAAAAACACATAGCCAGTCACTGGGCTTAAACTCAACCTTGACAAGATCTCAGGCAAACGTGAGCAACGACCAATTATCATTTTGCCCCAAAAATACAGTCACTCCACTTTACAGTATATCCTGTGAAGTGCTTTGAGACCTCTCAACCTCTTTAATGTGATGAGGCACTTTATCAAATGCGAGGATTATTATTATCTACTTTAAACAGCACCTTCCTTGATCGTTGTCCACATTAGAGATGAGGAATGTTTCTCTAATTCTCTTTAGAGGTGGGTGAAGGCAGAGATACTCTTATCTCACAATTAATGGTGCAACATCAGAGGAATAAGACATGAGGGGGAATCATGATCCTCTCACCCAGTAAATAGTCGCTTCAGGGATGATTCGATCTGGTGGATTATCCTCCAGCAGCTTCATCAGTGCCTGGGAGGAATAGGACACAACATTAGACATGTAGAGCCTTTACCAGCCTTAGTATAACAACAAATTTCATTTATGTAGCGTCTTTGACATCAGGAGGACATCTTAAGATGCCGGAAATTCATCATGCAGTAATTCCTACACAATAATAACAACAATCCTTGCATTTGATATAGTGCCTTATCACATCTTCGAGACGACTCAAAGTGCTTCACAGAAGATACTGTAAAGTGAAATGACTGTATACAGTATTTGGGGGAAAAATGTGGCAGCCAACTTCACTCAGCAGTGTCCCACAAACAGTCGTGGATTGAGTGACCAATTTATTATTATTTTGAAGGAATTATTACCCCCGGAAAAGTGATCTGCCAATCGACTAACAACCAGGTTCCTATTTACTGCTAGGTAAAGAGATGTATGTAGAGTAAAGCAATTGGCTCAACATTTCGCCCTGCTGGGAATCGAACCCAAGTCTCTCGTTTTAGAGGCGAGTGCTCTATATCTAGTACTAGAATTAGTAAGTATTATAGGATCTCTTAGCCGGGGTGGGGGCACTCATAGGATCTCTGTGTATTTTATTTCATAATTGTTTACTTTTATACTTTTTATTAGGATAAATCCATAACTTCCTTCATCCACATTCTTCAAAACACATTAAATTTGGGTCATTTATCTCATTGCTGTAAATGCTCACGCAGATCATAGGATTAGTTCAGATGAAGAAGCCCCTTCAACTGTGTGTGGGACACTGCTGTGTGTAATTGGCTGCTCACAAGATAGTCAATTTATTTGACAATATATTCTGTGAAGTGCCTTTGAGATGGGTCAATGACGCGATAAGGCACTATATCAAATGCAAGGATTATTATTAAATTGAATGGATTATTCTCCATGTGTACAAGAGTGGCTCCTCTTTGCCTTCAACCTTAATAAATAAACCTTACATCTGATACATCGCCTTTCACATCGGGAGGATTGTTTCAAAGCTCTATGTAGGACTATAATAAATTGTAGCAACTGTTTTATTGGAGAGACATGGCAGCCAATTTGGACACAGAGGTGTCCCATAAACAGCCATGAAGTGAGCGACCAATTTTATTTGGGGATTATCAGCCTGGTCTGCCTTTCAATCCTTAAGTCCCAATCCCAACCAAAGCAACTAAACTCTGAAGTCAGTATAAATGAATGAGTTGGTTAGCAGACTGAGGTAATGTAACAGAGTGCATGCAGCAGTCTTCAAAACATGGGAGTGGTTCAGCAGCTTACCTTCTTTGCACGTTTTATGTTGCTCCAGGATTTGCGCAGCTCTACGGACTCGTCAAACAAAGCCCGACACACGGCTCGATAGTGGTCATCAGCCATCGAAGGGTTAAACAGGCGATTTTCACACAGCTGAAACCACCACAGGAAACAAAAATAACTCCTCAAAGCTCTTGACAACAGGAGTAGTGACCGCAGAGCAGGGAAAAAGGATTTAAAGATTTTGACAAAAGGCATGGTCGAAGAGGGAAGCTTTGAGTAGGTTATTCAAGGCAGAAGATGTTGAAATATATTGATAATCACCTCGGGATACATTGGTATATTTCAAACAGCAACCGAATGTTCCAGAAGGTTTGATAGTTAAATGGAATTGCTGGACGGGCTGAGGTTAGCTTCTGATAACATTGCATATTTTCCTGGGAAGATGTTCACTCCTCTGAGATAATGGGCCCTTAGCTTAGATGTAACAACAATGGACCACAGAAAGCAAAGGCTGCAGCCTCAGGCACCTGCTTATCTCAAGGCTGAGAAACAAGCAGACCGGGGAAGGCTGTCCAGAAGTTGTCCATATCTTTCGATGTGCAAAGCAGCCCTGCGAAAGGTGGGGGCTCTCTCTGTGACCAGGGAAGCTGGAGTTAGAAACGCATAAAAGAAAGATGTAACTTTGAAATAGTTGGAGTTGTGCAGAGGGTCAGCGCACTTCCCAGTGGAATCGATTCTACTGTATCTACGTATATGTACAGGGGTGAGGGAATTTACCTCCAGTAAGAAAGTGAAAGAGGAGTGAGTAGTGGTCGGCAGCAGCCGGAGCAAAGACAAGGATAGAGGTCAGATGGTCATTGCCCAGAGTCATCGGATCGGGTATTATGCTTTTATTCTGTAAATACTTATATTTGACTAATTGTTCAACAAAACTTTGTTATTACACCACTTTGGATTGTCGGGTCATATTTCTAACTCAATGATCAGAAATCCCAACAGAGAGGGAGAGAGGCAAAGTGTTGTTTGATGAACATTCCAGAGGATTGTTGATTGTAAATGACTGTAGTTATAGCCAAGCAAACAGAATTACCTCAACGATTTCATTGATGGTGCTAGGTGGTTGCTGCCGCAATCTGTGCACCATTCTACAGATCAAGTGCTCCAGAGACAGGCTGAGAACTCGCTCTTCACTGTTGCTCAGCCCCCAGTCAAGAGCCTTGTAAATGAGCACTCCTAGAGAATCAACAGCCTGAAACTCACAGTGGACGTGGGGTTAAAGACAGAAAAATCAGCTCTTGTCAAACATAGCTCAGGACATCAGGAGAAAGTCCCATCTCTTGAAATTAAAAAGGAACTCATGCTCCACCCCTCCTGATCCCAACCCCCAGCTCGGGTCCAAATCCTTGACTGTCCAGCGCCTTAGGATGTCCTCCCCGACATGAAAGGCGCTGTACAAATATAATTAGTTATTGCTGTTCCTATCCATCCACATTTTAGGTTGAGAAACTTGGGTAAGGGTCAAAGGCCATGGTGAGGAATGTCAGATCCTTCTGGTTCAGATCCAGATCATCTTTTAATGGGCAACATTAGGTTTCAAAGGAACCCTAATGATCAAGAAGATGATCAAGAATGCAGTCTCTCCACACACTCTTTCTCTGTTACAGGAGAGATACCATGGAAACAGAGCTACAACCAACGCACTTTATCATGACCACTTCACCCAAAAGCCACCATAAAATGTTCAGTTCAGCAAAAGGCACAGCAATCAAGGCACAATAGCAAAATTAAGGGCAGAGAGCAAGGACCTTCACATCTAACCTAGGAATATTTAACGCTGATACCAGACCACAGGGCCAGCCTCACCCAGAGACATCCCAAAACAGATAATCTTCCGGCTTCTCTTGCTTTGCACAAGGGAGAATGGCACTGGGGAGAGTGAACATTAGCCACGGAAACCAAGAGCTAAAACGGTCTCCCACCAGGGTGAAGAGTGCAGCACTCTATCGGGGAACCTTGGTATATTTAATCGCTTTTCATTTTCAGTCTCGTCTGCTCAGGCAATCGGAGTGGATTCCGTTTAAAAAGCAAAGTCAATTACCTCCTCCTCACTGCATGGCCTCCCAAGGTCGCCTGAAAGGGAAACAGATTTATATTAGGCAAGGCTGATAACAGCTGATCATGCATCAAACCTCTCAATCTTTGTGCAAGTTTCTTCCTGGATCCAAAGTTGTTTCAAAGTCATTGTTTGCATTGAATAAGTTTGTGGGTTCGAGGCTCACGCCAGTATTTGAGCTCACAGTCTACACTGGGCGATATATCTATTCCTCATTCGCCTCGCAAGCGAGTGTTCAATTCCCAGGCAGGACGAAATGTTGGGCCAATTTCCTTACTCCACTCGCCTCTGTTCCCCTAGCAGTAATTGGAATCCGGTTGTTAGTCGACTGGCAAATCACTTTTCCTGCAGTTAATAATTCCTTCAAACCATTTTTTAAAAAAACAACAAATTGGTCACTCAATACACGACTGTTTGTGGTACACTGCCGTGCGCAATTGGCTGCAGCATTTCGCCCACAAAAATATTCAGTCACTTCACTTTACAATATATTTCTTCGCAGTCTATTCTGTGAAACGCTTTGAGACGTCTAGAAGACGTGATAAGGTTCTATATCAAGTGCAAGGATTATTATTATTCCAGCCTTATTCCTCACATGGCCAGGTAGTGGGTCCATTAGCTGGGTGTCAGCCACAAACTGGTGCCTAATTACACAGCAAGACAACCAGACACTGCACAACCACACAACCCCCAATACACACACAATAGGTCTGAATACAACCCACAGTAACAATACAATAGAATACATTTATATAGTGGTTTTCACGTGAGTACGACATCTCAAAGTGCCTAACTCTAACGCTTGGGCTCCCGAGTGGTGGGGTGGTGGTTTGGGGGGGGTTCAGGGGAGGTGGGAGCTGAAGAAGGTGAGGAGGGGAAAGCTGACAAAAACATTGGCTTTGCGCCAGCAACAGGATGGAAAGGGCGAGATGGAGGGACTCCACAACGAAGCTCCAGAGAGCGCGGGCAGAACTGCTGTAAGCCCACCTTCAAACACACAACAACTAAACTTTGCAGGATATCTCACAGATATATCTGTTGAGCTGGATAGTGCAGGGAAGAGTTACCGTTGGCTGGAACACACACGACAGAACCATCCTGGAACAAGGTCAAGTTGTCAATTCTTTCAAAGCGGGGCTGGGGTTCTCCCTGCTCCTGGGTCAACAGACCCTGACAGCTCTGATAGCACAAGGCCCAGGCCTGCTCCTCACTCACAGGCTGCCCCTGGACAATCAGCATGGCCTCCAGTGAGAACACCTCCTCTGCCACTGCCATCGGGACTCAAACTGCAGGAACCTCTCCCAGGCCCAGGGTCACCTGACAGACATTTATAGACAATACACAGGTGTTCAGGGGTGTGTGTGTGTGTGTGTGTAGGCAATTAGCTCACAAGGCATTGAAGCTTAATATCACAACTTCTATCAATTGACACTCATCTAATCTATTAGTGAAGTACCGGGGCTTAAAGAGGCGCAGTTCCTTCTGTGGATCCACAGTCACTGTGGATCTTGTATTCAAAACGCGGCAGCCAATTTGCACACAGCAATGTCCCACTTTGGTCAACGCACCAAGAGAAATTCACTTCCCCTTTTGAATGGTTCCATGGGATCTTTAACATCCACTTGAACAGGCTGACGGGACCTCAGTTTAACATCTCATTCAAAGACGGCATCTCCGACAAGCAGCGGTACTCCAGCACCACACTGGGGCGTCAGCCTAAACTGTGGGTGTAAATTCAGAGGACAGAGTGCAACCATCTGAACCAGACTGACACATCAGAAGCCAGAGTAAATTAATAACTCAGTTGAAAAAGGGATGCGGGAATGGAAGTTATGTAAGTAAAGGAATGTAAGTAACAAACAGGTAGTTAATGTTGAATGCTACTATACAGCGCATGCAGCAGGCAATCTGCGCTGGCAATGACCCACAGAGAACAAGCAGATTGAGCTATTACACTGCCCTGGGTATTCATTGTGAGTGATTTGGGTAACTGGCCAGGTCACATAATGTTTACCTTCACGTTTACAGGGCAGTAAAACTGTGCTGAGCCTCCCAGCGATAGTGATGAAGATTCAGGGGATTGAGGAGAAAGCACTGGTCCTCAGGAAAGGAGGGGGTGTAAGGTCTGTCGTTCCTTTTCTGAATGAGAGGCTTGTGTGATTGACAGGAACACTAAGATGCAGTTTTTTATTTTTGGTCAGCTGGATGTCTGACACATGCGGAAACCCATCATTGTGCTTAAGAGAGTATCCATACAAAACTGAGAATTCCGTGCATCCCACCTACACATGGAAATTCCAGAGATAGATTGTCGGAATGGAAATGCGCACTCTCTCCATGGAGGGACCCATCCTGCTTACCTAATTCCGGAAAGTATTAGGCACAGGTTGGCAAAAGCCGAGGCTTGGGGACCCCAGAGTGTGCGTTGGGGTAACTGCTGGAGTCTAACCAGAAAAATTATTGCAATTATTTTCTTACGGGAAACGATTGCAAATGACAGTCAATGGAGGCTAATGATTGATCTGATTTTTACACCATCTCATTTCAAAACAATTGTTACAGTGTACAAACACAGAGACCTCATTGGTTCAGGAAATCAATATTGGCCTGACCCGATGTCATAGCCATGAAATGAATTGGTGAGTTAACTAACACAAGGAAGGTCACGAGCTAAAGCAATCGCAGCACCCACGTAATTGCTGCGGAGTAAGCTTGGAAGAGGAAACTGGTCTTAACTGAAAGAAAGAGGCTCCTGAAGTTGTTTTTCCCCCTCACCCATCCTCTCCTCCATCTCCAACTGCGAGGAGTTGCTGGACTTACTTGAGTCCAAAATTGAGGGGGATCCTTCCAACTGCTATCCTCTTCCCACCTCCCCCTCACACTCCGGCCTCTACCCATCCCTCCCTCCACACCTTTGAACCTCTTTCCCCCTACTCTCTCACCAGCGTTATTACCCATATGAAACCCACCACCTTGACCCCCATCCCAACAACAACTTGGATTTATATAGTGCCCTCCACCCCGGATGGCGTCTCAGAGCGCTTCACAGTAACGGATCCTGGGGCCGAGCCGGGGGAGGGGGAGGAAGGTGACCAAAGGT